AAAATGTCATATTTATTTTAACACCTTTGATTATATATAATATGGATTGAGCTAACTGAATATATCTACTAACAAAAATGTGGCTCAAGGTGAATAGACGCAGATGGAAAGCGATAATGTGAAAGTGTAACAAAGATAGACATAAAACGGTACTAAACAGACGGGCGCATGCGCACAAAAGTGTCAAACCTCTTCCATTTGACGTTTATCGTTTTGTTGTGTCACAGCCAGTCACACCGTTATGTTTAAAAATGTATTGTTTCGTGTGCAAAGTTCGCGATAATACAGTTTCACATCACCTGTAAGTATTATAAATGTTACTTCTAATTGATAGTTTTTTATCTTATAAATTAACGCACGCCCATTATATGTCAGTACGCTTCTATGTCTATCTCGGTTCGATCACCTTGCGCAAGCTATCTCTCTCGTTGACTCAATCCATATTATATATAATCAAAGTTTATATTCCATACATAATGGGCACCTGTATATAATATTATATTATACTTTTCCTCCAATGACGTCACGTTTTTACCTCGCCTCGCCAACATCAATTTGTTCGAATTGGATAATCTTATAACCAATACTCAACGGAGCTTATAAAGACCTATTGTCAAAAACAGATGATAATTAAACGTTAATTAAATTACACCCTCAATTTTATATTCTTTTTTATTAATATAATATTATGTAATAATTAAATAATAAATCGTTTTTATAATCTTGATATCAGCTCCATCTATTGAGCCATACAAGAACTTTACTACGAAACGTCACAAATGTCAAAATGACATCTAACCTAAAGACGTATTGTCAAAAACAGATGTTACGTTGATTATTGCGTGTTCATATCCGAAGTAAAAAAAAACCATTTTTTAAATTATAAATGGAAACGTCGGATAGTGAATGTTTTGAAAGTGCCGGTGAAGAGTTTTATTCCGACGAAGAAAAGGAGGAAGATGATAAAAAAAGATGTAAGAAAATTGATTTGGAGAAAAGTGAAAATTGCGACTTAAATAAAGATGGTAACAAGAATAACTCAAAAATAGGTACTAAAAATGTAGAAGACATTGTTGAATCACCAAAAAACATAAATGTTGACCCAGAAATACTTGATAATGCAAAGAAAATAATCAACAAAGATGAAGAAAAAGAATCAAAACTTACAGAAACATTAAACAAGTTGGAAATCACAAAAAAAGATGATGAAATAGTTTTACCAAAAATTGCTGAACATGATGATAATATGTGGGATAATGATGATTGGGGAAATGATGATGTTAACATGCCAGAATCTACTAAAAATATTGATATGAAACGAATTTCACCACAATCTATATCATTAAATAAATGTATTGATAAAAACGAAGAAGAAAATATGTGGGATAACGATAATTGGAGTGATGAAGAGAAAGATGATGTTCCAAAAGATACCAAAAATACAAAAAAAGAAGAAGAAAATTTATGGGAAGATAATTGGGGTGATTTTGATGAACCAATATCAAAATCAACAAAACAAGAATCACAAGAACTTAATTCTTGGGAAGACGATTGGGAACCAATTGAAAATATTCCCAAAACAACTTCTTTAAAAACCCCCTTAAACACTCAAGAAGAAAATAAAAAAGATACCGGGTGGGGATCATGGGGAAATTGGGGATTATCCTCAGTAATTTCAACAGCAACAAATTTAACAACTCAAGTTTCACAAAGTATAACAACAGTTTTAGAAACAGGAATAGGTGCCCCAAATCCAGAAGAATTAGCTAAAAGCGATAGGGAAATTGAAAAAGAAGTTGAAAATGTTTCCGATGACGAATTAGATTCACAAAATCAAGAAGATAAATCAAACCGATTCGGTTTAGGTTCTTTAGTACAAGGGGTGACAAAATTGGTTGAAACAACCGGTTCAAAAGTAATAACGGGCGGTTTAGACACTTTAGAAACGATCGGAAAGAAAACGATGGAAGTTTTACAAGAAAACGATCCCGGATTAAAAAAGAAACGGGCTTTCTTAACTTTAAACGATGATAAACCAATTTTATCGCAAATGTTACGCGAAGCTAAAGAAAAATCGGAGCAAGAAATCGATTATAAAAAAAACGTTGTTATTAAACGACCGAATTACGAAACTTTATTTGATGATTACCAAGGATTGGTGCATTTGGAAGCTTTGGAGATGCTTTCAAAACAATGTGACATCAAACTCTCCAATCTCATAGAGCATTCTCATGGTGACTCCTTAATCGAAACTCAAGAAACTCTTGGACAAATCAAAGAATTATGCGAATTACCCGAAGATGATGAAGATGAAACGTTAGATAAAGACGAAATTAAAGAAAAGATTGAGACTTCAGTTAAAGAATTAAACGTTCCTATTTGTTATGATAAATTACTTTTAATGTGGGATGATGTTGAAACTTGGTTGGATGGAAACGCGGAAACTGATAATTCTAGGGATGTGCATCAAAAAGCTGTTGAAACTCTAGCTGAACTTACTGCTATTGCAGTTGAACAGTTTCATAAAGGTGGGGAGTTGTTGTTGGTTAAACAACATAGGAGTACTGCGGATGAAGCGGATTCTTTAGTTCAGTAAGTTATTAATTAAAAAAGATGTATACTAGGTAATACATGAAAGATTAAGATGAATAGTCTTAATATATGGGCTTGCAAATGCCTCCTTAGTGAGATATAGGACGTCACAGTTACATTACCTGCAATAAAAAACCCTTTTTTAAAAATATTTTCTATGCCACTGCTAATTTTGTTTCTCATAATAATACAAGCCTATAGTTCGTTTTTTTTCTCTATAATACTTGTCAATGTAAATTTTTTCTTAAAAAATTTATGTTGTTTTCCTGATTTTTAGTAACATTTTCAGTAACTAAATAGTTGAGGTTAAAATACTAATAGATTTTTAGATATACGATTTTAACGAAGTACATATTTATTGTAAAAACGTGCTATAAGTAATTAAATAGAACAAAACACCTTTTCTATGTAAATAAATGGCAAATAAACACCCCACAACATTTTTATGCACCTTTTCTTCTTGAATAACGAAAGCTCAAACGTCAGTGTGACATATCTATGTCAAAACATGATAAAACAAAACTCCCTGTTAACTTTGCCAACTTTAGAACAATTTGGCAGGTATTATAGAAAAAAATTAACTATAAATTAAACATGGGCTGTCAGTAATGTCAATAATAAGTGTGCAAGTGAATTAAGTACCTAGCTTATAATAGTATATTATTATACGAGCATATAATGAGTGAATTATATATGAGTAGAAATTGACTCCATAAATTTATGTTTTTAATAAAGTACAGTTTAAACGTCAATATGACACAAATTCAATGTTACCAACTGTAACCAACTTCACAACAATTTGTCAAAATTAAATGTCAAGTTTATGAAACGTCATGTTTTTTTTTACGAAAATTAATTTATGCGTAAATCACACGAAAAAAAGAATTTGTTTAGGTTTTTTTAATGTCAAACCTTTAGAAATTCCTAAAAAATTGAATTATTGACGTTTTTTGAAATTTTGATGTTTCAAATAATTATTATTAGTCTGTCAAGTTGATTACCCGTGAATAATGATTATTCACCGCTATTATTCATTCTGAAAAATGACTACTCTTTTGTTTTAGAAAACTCATTTATAAGGTAGTCGTGGACAAACTTCTTTTTGTCATTTTTACGGTTATTTTGCAATTCTGCTATTTCTGTATTTTCGATAGCAACATCTATGTTGCTAGCGAATTTCGTTTCACGTGATACAGGGAAATGTATCAATTTTGTATGTCTCGAGTTATTCCAATTTTTCTAGAAATATCTGCTCCAGCAGACATGACATACAGTGATGCAATAAAATCTACATACAGCCCGGAAAATGACAATATCTCAGCTCCCGAAATGTAATACAATGAAATTTTTTAACAAAACATATAAAAAGTCCATATTATTTCCATATTTTACATAAAAACTATATAAATTATTATTAATCAAGGGGAACACAAAACATAATCATTTCTTTAACTCAAAAAGTCTACATACAATCCTAAAAAAAGAGTCTATCAGTGTCCGTTATAGCTCAATAAAAATATACAACTATCTAGCGCTGAATAACAAAAAACTAGACTAACACTAGCACTTAGACTTAGAACTAAAAACACGGTTAAACCTGAATGTTTCTACTTTTAGGTGTAATGTTAGTTCTAGAGACAGTGGTAAGTAGCGTAGTTAGCATAAGATATCATTATGTTGCATATTTTTATTGAACTAAAACTAAGTGAAACCTAGTGAACGAACACTAGACCTAGAATGTATCTAGTTCTAGGGTTAGTTCTAGTTTTACACTATCACTAGAACAGAACTAACACAAGACCTAAAACTAGAATAATTCGGGTTTAGTCGTCTTGAGAGACGTGCGGCTGAACATTAAATTGTCATGATATCTCAAAATCTAAAACCGAAAAAGTTGTTTTGACTACGTCATGAAATTCTCTATAAAAAAGTGTCCATATAATGTCTTAGTTATAATACTTCACCTATAATAATAACCAAGATAATTGTACTTGTTGGTTTAACGATATTTTCAATTTTTGCCTCTAGGGGAAAAACAAAAGACGATAGCGCTTTGAAGTTATCGGCATTAGTAGTTTCTCGAAAAACGACATCATGACATGTAAGCTACTATTTTTCTAACTGTTATAGTATCCGAGTTAGCCTATTCGGACATCGAATTTGAACCACCCCTGTACAGTGTGTTAATTAATTATCGTACTCGACGTCATCATTGCAAGTATGCAACCAATATTACAGTGCTGGTATTGCAATACGCGATTTGTGTATTCAGATATATTCAGTGCGATATTGGTTGCATACTTGCAATGCTGCTTGCAATACCAGTACTGTGATATTGGTTGCATACCCGCAATGATGTTGTTGGGTACGATAATTAAGTAACACACTGTATATTAAGACTATTCATCTTAATTTTTCATGTATTAACTACGCTAGAAGTCTGAGTGGTTTTTTAAATCATCCTGTATATTAATTAATTTTAATTTTTTAGGTTAACCGTGACATTAGCGGCATTAATCGGAATAGTTTCATCAAAATTTTGTGAAAAATTAAATAGGATAACAACTGAAGACGATAAAACGGAAGTAAACGAGTTAATAACAAACGTATTTTACGAGGTAATCAAAATTTTTAAATTAAATATTTATTATTGAATAAAATACAAATATCTTAAATGAAACATTATTTCAGGCGGCAAATAGCACCACTTACATAAAGGATGCCTTTCAACTCTTAATTCCAGTCTTGCAAGTAGGCGCAGTGTGACTCCAATTGTAAATAATTGTAAAAATAATCAGATAACGAAATCCTTTTTAATAATTTTTATTATATAGTGAAAAATGTTTATTAAACGATTCGCCCGATATATTTTGTGTTTATTTTGAGCGTTTATTTCCCGTCGGTGGTTTTTGTAATTGAAAAGCTGAAGTATTCGCTCCAAACATGGGTTGTATGCTAGAGTTTAATGATGTGTTACCAAAAATGTTTCCCACAGGTTGAGTTGATCCAAATAAACTTTGCTGTTGCGTTTGTGGATTAAGAACACCACTTTGTTGTTGATGAGTTTGATTCAAATTCGCTTGAACAATACTTGGGTGAGTTAAAGTACTAAAAGGTGAAGGTCCAGAAGCAACCACACTCGGTTTGTAGGTTATATCATTCAAAGAGATATTTAACGTTTCTGATTTAGAATTATTTTTTTCAAAAATGTTAGTATCATCGTGTAACATATATTTTCTTAAATTCAGATATTGTTCTTTTTGACTTTGAACTTGGGTATGAACCGATTGTAATCTTCCAGCTAAAGCGACGAAGCTTTCATGAAGTCTTCTCAATCCCATTGCTAAATCTTCCGAACTTAAAACGGAGGGTTTTCCTAAATTTTTTACGTAACGATCTGTGTTTTCAATTTGCATCTGTAAAGTGTGCATTTCGTTTTCAAAACCTGCAATAAGGTTAACAAAGAATTCCATTGGGGCTGTATTTTCGTACTGAAGACCTGGTGGTGTATCTAAAGTTCTTTGCGCTAATTCAACGCATTGTAATCCTTTAGCTGTATCAAGCTTTAATTTTTCTGAAACCGCTCGATTCGTTTGTAATTGTTTTTCAACTTCGTTCAATAAATTCGAAACCATTTCGATTTCATCAGAAACTTTTTTAAATTCTTTAACTGAACACCGCGCTACGTCGGAACTATAACTTTTTTGTTGCTTAACAAAACTTTTAAACGATTCAACTGTTTGTTGAATTTCGTTAGGGAGAGGTTCATTTTTTGGTAACACCTCAGCTCCTTTACTTGTTGTACTTCCCGCTTTTGGAGTGCTTGTAACAATCCCCCCCAAACCAACCGATTGAGTCGTCGTTGTTGTTGGTTTTGTTAAACTTGGAGTAGCTGTTGATCCACCTAAACCAAAAGATCCTCCTAAATTAAATCCCGATCCTCCAAGTCCTATGGACGCTGTTGTTGTTGTAGCCGGAGCGGAAAACGACAAAGTTGGCGCAGTCGTTGCTGCAAAACTTAATCCTAAAGATGGAGTTGTTAATGTGGTTCCAAGAGATAATCCAGCACTCGTCGTTGGGGTGCTAAAAAAGCCTCCAATGCTTGTTTGAGGTTGACTCTGAAACAAACCTCCACCTGTCGTGGTTGTAGAAATCCCCCCTAAATTTAATCCGGTTGATGCTGTCGTTGGTGCAGCAAAACTTAACCCAGTTGAAGGAGCAGAAGTTGCTCCCAACTTAAAAGTTGGTTGCGTGGTCACTCCAGGTGCATTAAAATTAAACCCAGTGGATGTGGCAGCAAACCCAAGATTTGTTGAGGTGGTTTGAGGATTTGAAAGTCTAAAACTAGCCGTAGTAGCCGCGGGGGCCGTTAAACCCAACCCAAAACCGCCAGAAATGTTTGAAACAGAGGTTGTTTGTTGTTGTTGCTGTTGAGGCGCACTAAATCCAAAACCGGTTTGCGTTGCGGCGGGTTGAGGAACTCCAAATCCAACTGCAGTGGGTGCTGCCATTAATCCTGTTTGCGAACTAATCCCAAAGCCTGTACTTGCCGTTGGATTCCCAACATTAAAAGTAGAAAGGCCTGTCGTTGTGCCGATTAAATTGGATAACGGAGTTGACTGAGTTGGTTGGGCTCCAAAACCAGAAAAATTCGTTTGGCCAAAACCTAATTAATAAATTAATTAACATCACAACAAAACAAAAACATTGTTTTACCTGTACTTGGTTGTCCAAAACCTGTGTTTCCCACTGCAGACGATACAGGAGTACCAAAGGTGATACTTCCGGAAGGTTGAGCTGGTTGTGCCCCAAAAGAGGTTTGTCCAAAAGCTGGAGTGGTTGTACTTTATAATAACAAAATTAATTGATTATATATTAAAAAAACACTTTACAACTTACTTAGGTCCAAAGGTAAATCCAGTCGACATTATTGTAAGATTTATAAGTGAAATTATTGTAAATATAAATTGAGGTTATGTTAGCTTTGGCGGTTTCGAACTGTCAAAAATAAAAATAAATTTTAATTAATAATGTTTTTAGTTTTAATGAGGAATAAAATAAACTAAAATGTTTTTCGATGTAAATGTTATTAATAAATCTAGAATTAATAATAAAATTAAACTAGATTTATTTAAGATTATTAAAAATTTAGTGATGTAAAACTTGATTATTAATTAGGTTGGTATTACAACAGCGCAAAATTTAAATATTAATAATAAAAATTAAATGTTTTATTAATTAAATTACGCTTATTAATCGTTTTAAAGCATAAATATCTAAAAGACTTTCGATTAATTAATTAAAATGTCTATATCGGTACATTTGGATTATTTGTCACTGTTTGTTAAATTGTGAATGTGTTTTTATTCCGTTTTTAGTTTTAATGAGGAATAAAATAAACTAAAATATTTTTCGATGTAAATGTTATAAATAAATCTAGAATTAATAATAAAATTAAACTAGATTTATTTAAGATTATTAAAAATTTAGTGATGTAAAAATTGATTACTGATTAGGTTGGTATTACAACAGCCAGAAATTTAAATATTACCATTGTTTATAGAGTATATGTATAGAGTATATGTAAATGTTATAAATAAATCTAGAATTAATAATAAAATTAAACTAGATTTATTTAAAATTAATGACAATTTAGTGATGTAAAAATTGATTGTTGATTAGGTTGGTATTACAACAGCGCGAAATTTAAATATTAACAATAAAAATTAAAAATGTTTTATTAATTAAATTACGCTTATTAATCTTTTTAAAACATAAATATCTAAAAGACTTTCGATGAATTAATTAAAATGTCTATACCGGTACGTTTGGGTTATTATTTGTCACTGTTTGTCAAATTGTGAATGTTTTTATTCCGTTCGGTCCATGAAATCGTAAAATACTCATTAATAGTCTAAATTTAATGCGAAAATGTTCGTAACAAGAACTGTTGCGATTAGCACCAGAAATTGGTACGGAAGATTTTACCACACGACAATTTCAGATGTTTTTAAGGTTAAGAGACCCGGAGATACCATCAAGATTAAAGTAATGCTTAATTTACCATACTTATTTTGCTTTATTTATTTAAATTATATTTAGGGATGGGTAAAATCGTTAAGAAAACAAAAAGATTACGCATTTTTTGATGTAAATGATGGTACACACATTAAACGTCTTCAAGTGGTTGCTAAAAAAGATCAGACCTTAAAAAATTTGACGTCTGGAGCTTCCGTAATCGTTTCAGGAAATTTAGCTGAAACTCCATCTGGTCAATTAGAGTTAAATGCATCTGCAGTTTCAGTAGTTGGTGAATGTGATGTGAGAGATGGGTACCCATTTGCTCCTAGGAAAATATATCCACCTGAATATACAAGGAAATATTTACATTTTCGTCCAAGAACAAAACGTTTTTCATCTTTATTAAAAATCAGAGATGTTGCTCATTTAGAGATACACAATTATTTACATTCTAAAGATTTCATACAAGTTCACACACCGATATTAACATCAAACGATTGCGAAGGTGCCGGAGAGGTTTTTTCCGCTATTCCAACAAATAAAGATATGTTAAACAATATGATTCGACCAAATGTGACTGTGGATCAAGCGTATTTCGGCTGTGAAACTTACCTTTCTGTTTCTGGACAGATGCATCTTGAAGCAGCAGCTCACGGTTTATCAAAAGTTTATTCATTCGGGCCAACGTTTCGAGCAGAAAATTCAAGATCACGGTATCATTTGTCCGAATTTTACATGTTAGAAGCCGAAATGGCTTTTATCAATAAATTAGAAACACTTTTAAATACCATCGAGATGTTTATTAAATGTGTATCTTTTAAAATTTTTGATAAATGCGCCGAAGAAATCGCCGTTTGTAAAGAAACCGATCATTATATTTCGTCCCATTTAATTCGTGACTTTAAAGTTCTACCGTATGATGAAGTTGTCAACATTTTAAAAAAGTATGAAACGAAATTTCAAAAAGCGTTCAACGAAAAGGATGGTTTAACTAAAGAACACGAAATCTTTTTAGTCGCACATTGTCAATCACCGGTTTTTATAATAAATTTTCCAAAAACGATGAAACCGTTTTATATGAAAGAATTGACTGATGATCAAACGAAAGTTGCTGCTGTAGATTTGTTAGGCCCAAACGTTGGGGAGATTATTGGTGGGAGTTTACGCGAAAACGATTATTATAAATTAAAAAATAGTATTCCGGGTAACGACGCTCGATTAGATTGGTACTTGGATTTGAGAAGATTCGGGAGCGTTCCGACTGCAGGTTTTGGAATGGGATTCGAACGATTCTTACAAAGCATTGTTGGGATTGCTAATATTAAAGATACAATTCCATTTCCAAGGTGGCCTCATCATTGTCAAATGTAGCATTCATTTTTGATTAAAAAGAAATTGTTTTGTTTCATTAATAAATTGTAAAGTATTAGTTTAAGTGTCGTTTTAATTTTTTGTAGGTTGACTGAAGACTATTATATCATCAGTTCATTAAGTTTAAAACTTGCGACATGGATAATCATTTAAATCAAATATACTCAAAGCCGACCAAGAGACACTGGAAAGAAAAATATCTAATATATCTACCACACCAAATAAAAAACCATGGTTTACAGAGGAACTCAAAGAACTTGCAAAGGAAAAACGAAATTCATACTTAAAATACAGATCTCAAAGCTTAACACTAGATGAATATAAGGCTGTAAGAAATGCAGTCAACAACAAGATCCAATACATTAAAAAAGCGCATTGGGAAAAGTTCTTGGCGCACATGAAACATGACCTTTGGAAGGCCAGAAGATGAAGGAACATTCATGTTCAACACTAAATGAATGAGAACAACACTTTTGTCAACTCTACAACGTTAATATCTGTAGGAGCAACGTACATATCACCAAGACATAATCTCAAAAGAGAAGATTCTACTACATCTTGACTACAAATTTATACTTGGAGGAGACTTTAATGCAAAACATATGTCTTGGGGTTCTCGCTTGACAAATACAAAAGCAAGAGAACTGAACCATTCAATAGAGGCCCTAAATTGTGAGGTGCTCTCCACTGGGAAGCCAACTTACTGGCCAACAGATAGAAGTAAAATTTCGGACTTGCTTGATTTTTTTATTACGAAAAATATATCGCTTAACTTCGTAAACATAGAAGAAGAGTTAGGACTGGACTGAGATCACTCACCAGTAATTATTATTCTAAATAACAAAGTATGTAACAAAGAACCCTTTTTATCACTAACTAATAAATTCACTAATTGGAATCTGTTTCAACAAACATTAGATAGTAAAATTCATCTTAATGCTCTTATGAAAACAAGCGAAGAAATTGACAATGAAGTAGAAAAGTTCTTAAAAGACATACAAAACGCAGTTTGGGCCTCAACACCAATTGCAGAAAAACCGAAAGCAAGAAAAAAATGGCAAACCAATAGAATTCCTAGTGATAAAACTAAATTAAATAAAATAACAGCCGAATTAAGAGCATCAACAGATAGCCACAAAGATAATAATATTCAAAATTACTTAAAAGACCTTACTGACGATGCCAGTACTGATTATTCACTGTGGAAGGCAACAAGAAAGCTTAAAGTTCCAAAAACACATACACCTCTAATTCGAAATAATAATGGAAATTGGGCTAAGAGCAATCAAGAAAAAGTTAATTTGTTTGCTGAACATCCGAAAGAAACTTTTACATCAGACAGTCCAACAACTATGTTAAATAGTGTCCCTAGCGTAAAATCTATAGAATACAACAAATACGTGTATTTCATAGATCTTACAAATACTTTTGACCGCGTAGCAATTTCAGACATTGTGAGACTCCTCAACAAGAAAATTGTGCACCCAGATATAAAAGAACATTATAGTGGAGTTAAATACGGACAATTGGACCCAAATACAAGTGGAGGTGATAAAGACACGAATAATACCTATGCAGACAAGAATAAGACAAGGCGATATCTTAAGCCCTATCCTGTGATCAGAAATGTTTTTTTAATTTTTAGTTATAATTTACAGGAAACTGTAAATTAAATTTCCTTGACGACACTAAAAAACAGTTTATTTTTAGCTTTATTCTAATACAATAAGAAATAGACCTATATAACCCCATATTTTTGTAATCAGAAAAAAATAACGAATTTAATAAGCGAATAATCAGTGGTTGTTTCCTTTTAAAAAAACCAAAATTGTCATAATATCTAGAAATCTAAAACCGAAAAATTTTTTTTGACAAATTCTCTATAAAAAAGTGTCTGTTCATGCAAGAACGCATTTCGAACCTCGAACGCGCATGATCCGCTCGGGGGCGTGCGCCCTCTAACGTTATCCGTCACCTTGATTTATTATCGGCATTATCGATCAATCGTTCGCGCGCGCCAGTTGAATTTAAATGTAAAAAAGGTGGTGAGTGAGAATATATATATACGTAAGACAATTTTATCTTTTTATTTTCGTATTTCTTAACAAAATTGAAATCAGCACCTCTTCTTAATTACCCAGCTTATTGCTGCGCGTACAGTGTCCATATAATGTCTTAGTTATAATACTCAACCTATAATAATAACCAAGATAATTGCACTTGTTGGTTTTACGATATTTTCAATTTTGGCCTCTAGGGGAAAAACAAAAGAGGTTTTCGGCATTAGCAGTTTCTTGAAAAACGAGATCATGACATATAAACTACTTTTCTTCTAACTCTTATAGTTTCGGAGATAGCCTATTCGGACATCGAATTTGAACCATCCTGTAATTACAGCGAAAGCGAATTTTTTTTGAAAAATTTTAAACATAAAAGTACAACAGGAAAAGCATTTAACAAAATTCAAAAACACAACGGATAAGATTTACTTAACATAGTATTTTATTAAATGTTTTGTAGGTAACTAACTTTACTACTTAACAAATTAATAATCAAATTTAAACAAAAAAAGATTGTATTTTAACCGACAAAAATTGACGAACTACAGGAATGAGCTCTTTGACCATAACAAGGGATTTTCTAAAAGCTGTAGTTTTTTCTGCATATTATATTCGACTAAGAGACATCAACTTTGTATCATTGGGACGTGTGTCATTAATAATCATTTCTTCTTCATCGTCTTCCTCACTATTTAAGCCCAATAGATTTTTCAAAACATTCTCATTACTAAATTCTGATGATTTGATTTGTTCCTGAATTATTTCATTAAAAAATGTATTTTTGTAACGAGGATCCAAATAAGTAGCAACTGAAAATAAGTTGCTATTTTCTATGTGCACAAATTTTAAGTTTACTTCTGAAATTAACTTTCTGACGATTTCCTTGATTTGAGGAACTTCGTGTCTTGTTCTTCCTCTTGTAGTGATGATTTAATTACGTGTATTAGAGCGATGAAATATTGGAATTACTTAATTCTTTAGTTAGTTCTTCAAATGGTTTCAATATGTTCACCCATTTTTTCATAGTTTCCCAGTCTTCAGAAGATACCAATACTGATATTCTATTTTAGCTAGCTGGACGTAGCTTGGTGTTTAGTAAACACGATCGTTCTACGCATGAACATGTATGAACTTGTATATCTCATCAAATCTTTCGCATGAAAACTTGCGAATGCGAAAGCTTGATAATTGCGAATACAAACATTCGTTACAATCGGTTGAGAGATTCTGTTATGGCTCCCTTGTTCTGTTTTCTGTTGAGAAATAAAGTGGAGAATAAAAAATAGAGTTTTGAACAATAAGTCTTTATTAAATCATATTTTTTTACAATAATCTCGTTATTCTTTGGTTATTGGTTAACGTTCATTATAAAGATATTTAAAACAAATCAAATGGGTGACAAATTAATATTCCTACACCAATTTTATAATAATAATCTATAAAGTGCTAATAAATCTAGATAAATTAGTTCATTTCTAGATAAATCAACGAAAAAGAACAACTACACACTTTGATTTTCATGCTAATAAAATTAAAAATAAATACAGGGTGAGCTAATCATACACGACAAAAATAGACCCTGTACATAACCACCATCGATTTTAAATAATTATAAAAAGGAGTATTATAAGAGTTAACACGTAATAAGTTAGAAAATAAGTTACACTAAAAACCAAAAAAGATAAAAATGCGTCAATCACAGCTAAATTTTAAGTACATCTACCGTAGCTTAGTGCCAAAGTCTTTATAAAAATTAAATTAATGAAAAAAAGAGATACAATGCGTGAGTTTTCACAACACATATTTTATTAAGCTTTTTTTAATTTTATTTTGAGTGCAATTCCAAAAATTTCTACTCTTACAGATATGTTTACCATTTCTAATTAAAAAATTTACCAAAATCTAATCAATTCAAGATAAACATACAAGTCTTTGTTTCGTTTTATTGTAATATTTAAATTTTTGAGAACAAAAGTTAAATAAGAAAAGAATTAGGAACTTTTTAGGCACAACCTGTTAAGCAATACAAAATTTGATCCTAATCAAGATAATTTGTGTCATTAAAAAATACTCATTTTAAACTCAACTAATAAAATAGTAACACCTGAGAAAATCAAAGAATTAATATTAATTACTGGGAAAACAAACCAACAACAACAAGAAATACAGTTGATTACACTTAAATTAGAACAATTAAGTCTTATTAATAATTAATCATAATCAACTGTATTAACATTGCACAATTCATCTAAATCAATTTACTACAACAACCTGAATCTGATATAGACGTCGTTTTATTATCTATATTAGCTGTTGATGTATCATAACGAAGTAAATCCTTACTTCTTGCTTGCTAAAAATAAATTATTAATTATTAATTGATTAATAATAAATTTTTTTTACCTCCATGAGATCTTCTGCGATTTGCATAAATAATTTTTCAACATTATCAGCTTCTTTTGCGGAAGTTTCCAAAAAATACATATTATGTCTAGCAGCAAAATCTTCACCGACATGAGTAGGAATTTCTCGATCATCTCGATCGATTTTATTTCCTACTAAAATCCTTAAAACTTTGCTGCTAGCATATTCTTCGATTTCTCTCAACCAATCAGGAAGACAATCAAAAGTAGGCTGACATGAAATATCATAAACTAAAATAAGGGCATGTGCTGATCTGTAATAACTTTGTGTGATCGAACGAAAACGTTCTTGTCCGGCTGTATCCCATATCTGAAGCTAATTATTAATTATTATTAAGATGAACTTAAAAATTTTTTTAAAATAACTTTACCTTGACTTTTTCACCTTCAACTTCAACGGTTTTTATCATAAAATCCACACCGATCGTAGCACCTTGTCCTGGGGGGAAAAGCCCTTGAGTAAACCTTCTCACAAGACATGTTTTACCAACACCAGCATTTCCAACAAGAACCACTTTGAATAAAAATTTATAATCGTCCATTTTTGCGATCAATTTACCAAGTTTCTCTGCTTACTTTTAATTTGTTTTCTATTTTTTTAATAGAGAAACTTACAGGTGATTCACATTCTACACATATAGATATTATTTTTAATTAATTCACGTTTTCACCGATTTCGCTCGAGATATGTTTAAACTATTACGTCACCGATTACGTATTTTTTCGATACATCGTTATTAATCGATTTTGATGCATTCAGGCGAAAATTACGGTTCTTTTCGACCCAGAAATGAATTTTATTGAGATAAATGACAGGTGGAATTGTTAATGCATAAAAAAGTCATCTGTCAAATGAACAGCTGTGTAAAACAGAGATGGCATTAGTTGGTGTATTAGTCATCATTCTATTTTTTTATTCTCATTAAGTTAATCGAGTTGTCTAATTGTTTTGTTTCTAACACGGTTTTTTTTGGAGGGAGGAATTTTAAATATGTGTGAAGTTAGCTTAATTCGTTAAAAATATTTGTAATTTAATCTTTTTATTACGAAATGTTGAGAAATTTGTTTATTAATTTATTTTTAAAGTATTAGGAGTGAATACAAATGTTATATTTACACTAAGAAAGATAAACAACTATAAAAAAAAATAGATATTTTTGGCGGCAAATTTAAATTCGCTTATGTCAAATTCGCGCTTCTAAGACGTTAAAACAACATATTTCAACACATGGATTCTATTTACACTATGTTGACCAGTATACAAGACGTTTATGGGGAAATTCAGAACTTATTGATTACTAAGGATGAAAATTTTCTCCTAGGTGGCTTAAACCTTACAACATCAGTAAAAATAGACAACAATTTAACGCTTACAATTAGTAAATTATTAACGCAAATAAAAACAAAATGTTGCGTTAAAATGGCGGATAATAACGAATAAAATTAATTTGACGTTTACAAAGTGAGCTTAGGTTTTATCTTAGTGTATAATCACGTGGGAAATTAAAAATCCTTTAATTTGAGACCAAACACGACTCAATCATTTTAAAAAACATCCGAGATATCCCACATTTAATTTTGACATAACCTCAAAAAAGTGACATAAACCGGAAGTTGGTGGTGTATGTTGTTTTTTAAGATAACTCGACCGAGTTTAGGCTCATTTTAAAGGGAATTTAATGTAGATTGCGAACACGATGTTAGATTAATCAAATTCGATAGTAATAAAAACAAAATGGAAGATGATTTAAGAAAAATGATTCGATTTCAACGAAATTAAATTCGCCGGGTATTTTTAGATCTAGAAATAAAGAATTTTATTATTATTTAATTAAAATTATGAATCAAGATGGCGAAAAATATCAAACAATATCAACTTGACGTTTACAAAGTGAGGTTAGGTTCTTTTTTTATTCATAATCGGGGAATTAAAAATCCCTTAAATCGAGTCCAAACACGACCCAATTATCTTAAAAAACACCCGAGATATCCAACATTTTATTTTGACATAACCTCAAAAAAGTGACAATCGGAAGTTTGTTGTCTTTTAAGATAACTCGACCGAGTTTGGGCTCGTTTTAAAGAGAATTTAATGTAGATTACGAATACGATGTTGGTTTAATTAAATTCTGTCAAAATAAAGCAAAATGGCGGATAATTCAATGAAAAATGATACGATTTGCTCGAAATTAACTTCGCGGGGGACTTTTAAGTAGAAATATAGAATTTCGCTATTATTTAATTAAAATTATTAATCAAGATGGCGGAAAATATCAAATAATATTAATTTGACGTTTATAAAGTGAGGTTACGTTTTTTATTTATTCACGATCGTTTGGGGAATTAAAAATGCTTCAAATTGAGTCCAAACTCGACTCGATTATCTCGAGAAACACCAGCGATATCCAACATTTAATTTTGACATAACCTCAAAAAAGTGACAATCAGAAGTTTGTTATTTTTTAAGATAACCCCATCGAGTTTGGGCTCATTTTACCGAGAATTTAATGTAGATCACGAATACGATATTGGATTAATCAAATTCGATAATAATAAGAACAAAATGGCGGATTATAAAGAAAAAATGATTCGATTTTAACGAAATAAGTTTTTTAGAAGTTTAATTAAGCTTTTAGATCTAAAAATAAAGTTTTTCGTTATTATTTATAAGATATCACTATGTTGCATATTTNTCCCACATTTAATTTTGACATAACCTCAAAAAAATGACAATCAGAAATTTGTTATCTTTTAAGATAACCCCATCGTGTTTGGGCTCGTTTTAAAGAGAATTTAATGTACATCACGAATACGATGTTGGATCAAATTCGATAATAATAAGAACAAAATGGCGGATTATAAAGAAAAAATGATTCGATCTTAACGAAATAAGTTTTTTAGAAGTTTAATTAAGCTTTTAGATCTAAAAATAAAGTTTTTCGTTATTATTTATAAGATATCACTATGTTGCATATTTTTATTGAATTAAAACTAGAACTAACACTAGATCTAGAACTAGAATCATTCGGGTTTANTCGATCTTAACGAAATAAGTTTTTTAGAAGTTTAATTAAGCTTTTAGATCTAAAAATAAAGTTTTTCGTTATTATTTATAAGATATCACTATGTTGCATATTTTTATTGAATTAAAACTGGAACTAACACTAAACCTAGAACTAGAATCATTCGGGTTTAGCCGTCTTTAGAGACGTGTGGCTAAACCCAAATGATTCTAGTTCTAGGTATAGTGTTAGTTCTAGTGATAGTGCAAGTGTATAACTAGAACTAACATTAGACTTAAAACTAGAAACATTCGGGTTTAGCCGCACGTCTCTCAAGACGGCTAAAGCCGAATGATTCTAGTTCTAGGTCTTGTGTTAGTTCTAGTGATAGTGTAAAACTAGAACTAACACTAGATCTAGAACTAGAAAATATCAGGTTTAGCCGTGCATCTCTAAAGACGGCTAAACCCAAATGATACTAGTTCTAGAAGAAGAATTGTAGTGACAAGCAAACAAGAGTTAAATCGTCAATACGGACTATGTTGCAGTCCATTTTAGATGAAGAACCTAAAGTTGTTGAAGATGAATTAGATATAACAGCAACAAGACCCATAAAACTCAAAGCAATTTACTTCAACTTCAACGTTATTTGACGAATTTCAAGATTCTTCAGGAGAACAAGATAAAATTGATGGCGAAATAGATATTTACATGCAAAGAAAAATTGAACCCCATACATGTCCTATGGAATTTTCCCATGGAATGTCCCATGATTAAAGAAATTAGTCTGTCGAATTTTAAATGTCCTGCAACTAGCGGAAGACTATTCTCCACATCTAGATGTATCCTAAAGGAACGTTGTACTATACTCTATAGTGACTATATATATAACAGAGTATAGAGGTATAGAGTCTATACCACCAGAAGTGACAGTGAGAGTGACTCATCGCGTGAAAACGTTCGAAATAGCGCATTTACAATATGCCATTTCACTCTAACACATGTCAACTTATGGGCGTAATATCTGTACCGTATGCGGAAAATAATAACGGAAATCGATGAATCATGCGCGTTTCTCGTGGTATCGCCTATAGACTGATATCTGATAATATGGACAAGTTATTATTTCTACATACTAATACAAATTTATAGGCTGTAAATGTATAATATACCTGTTGTACATAATTATATGATATATTGCACAAATTAATGATTTCTCTTTTTATGTTTTGTTCTTCAATGCTTGGGATTCATAACTTTTCCAATACTCCTATAAATAAACCGTCATGTAGTGTGAAATAATTTGTTCAACCTTGACAATTTTATCAACAATATCGGTCGTTTTCTTTATTAATGATGTAAATTAATGAATTGCATCAAAATTGGCTAAATTGGTTGTGAATTATTACTAACCTTAGAATCCCTTTTTAATTTTAAAAAGAATTGATTTTACTTCAATTAAATTAAAATATTGCGCTCAAAAAATTTAGGACACGAAAAAATCGTTTAAATGTCAGTAACCTAACCTATAAATTTAAAGCGTTGTCAAAAATAAAATTTAACCAATCACGAACAAGGTCAAATTGGTTACAAATGTAAATGTTTAAATAATAATAATTTAAATAATATTGTTATTAGGAAATATTAAAAAATTTATTATTTGTAATTAATAATTACTTTAATTTGATTCATATAAATTAAAAAAGAAATAGATTACACTTTTATTCTTACTTCGCAATTTTTAAATGAAAACAAAGACATCGATTTTATTTTTATTGACCCACTTATAATGGGAATTACGCCCAACATAATACGCATTTTAACGTATATACATTAAAAATCACCTACAGATAACGGTTTTTTAATCAAAAAAAAAATACAAAAGTCCTAATAAACTAATTTATTTTTAATTATATTTTTCGTGCTAATAATCGCTTTTAGGCATACAAATTATGGGATAAAAACTTATTTAATTGTTTATTTAAAAGTAATTAACTATTTTTTTGTAGTAGTTTTTAAATAAAAAATTAAATGCGCATGCGCGATTGTTATGACGTTTACCCTCATTTCAAGTAGCCCAACAAACAATCGCCAGTCGCCATTTTTAGTGATCAAAGTAAAGAGCACGTGAAGCGAGTCTTTTTCCGCGTTTATTTGGAAATGAAGAAGGCGGAAAAAGGCGGTGGAAATCGTGTGCGAAATGTAACGAAGATGTCACCTTGAATAACGTTTACTAATGAATTAGGTTTTAAGGTGAGTGAATATCGGACGCGACATACGTTTTAATTGTGACACTATAAACGTCACAAACTTTTTCGGTTCATTAAAAACTGACGTAGATTTTTTTTGCTTCTTCCATTTTAGATTTTAATTTCCACGCACAGCCTGTGATAGTACTATTACAACTACAAGTGTATTTATAATTTATTTTTGGATGATGTCGTCGACAAGTAGAGAGGTGAGGGAGTACGTTTCGACGTTGGACGATTTGACGTGCAACAGTAAACCGATGATAAACGTGCTTACAATGTTGGCTGGAGAGAATGTTGCCCATGCATCCGATATCGTCGCCACCATCGAATCTCATCTCGATAAGGTCATTATTTAAAGTTATTATCACTTTTGTGTTAGTTAGCCCTTCAAGCTTAACTAACTTGAAAATTAAAAAAGAATTAATAAGGTTACATATAAGAGGTGACCTCTTTTCCACCTCTTATTAATTTATTTTTTTTTGAAAAGAACCTATTTGTGATATAAGTAAATAAATAATTTTAAAAACATGGTATAATTATTTGTTTTTTACTATGCATGCCAAATCTTAAATAAAAAGTACATAAATGAATATGGTAGAGATAGAAAGTGATGAACGCGTTTTGTCATTAATAAATATTTAGGCAGTGAGTAGTTTTTAATTGTTGTATCATATTGTGTAAGTATCGATGGCAGTGCGGATCTGGGTCTTCTTGCTGATTTAATCGTTAATAGAAATTTGGGAGAAATGTAAAGTAGAGTGAGTTATCTGTACTTAGGTGCCCAAGGACATCAAGTTGCCAGTGTTGTACCTCATCGATTGTATTATGAAGACTGTCGGTGGAATCTACTTGTCCCTCTTCAGTCAGAACATTGTTTCCACATTTTGTCAAACTTTTGAAGTGGTATGTACACACCTACACGCAAAAATATTCTTTTTAAACTTCCATAAAATATCCTCTAACACATTTTTTTTAATTACATTTCAGGTGGACGAAAAAACTCGTTCAGAAATGTTTAAGCTGCGCCAAACATGGAATGATGTCCTCCCAAAAACGAAACTTTACAACTTAGATGTGAAGGTCAACCAACACCTGGACCCGGCTTGGCCAATTTCGGATCCCCCCGTCACAAATAACATTCATTTAAATCCGAAATTTTTACAAAATGTAAGATACTGTTATATCTTGTTGTTTCTTTTTATTGTAAATCTAAACGAAATCGTTGTGTCATTTATAAATAATAAAGTATATAAAAAAACGTGGTAGTAATTAACTCCCGCTTGACGCTTCTTCGCTTCTTCTTCTTCTGGCAGATGACGCTTCCCAAAAAAAGCCCCCCCATCGCGATCCCAACGTCTGCGAATGCGCCCCCAGAGGTCGGACCTTCAACCCTCGATATGCAGAAGAAGTTATTGATGAAGCAACAGCAGTTGTTGGAGTTGCAGCAGAAGAGGCTCGAATTGGAGGTGTTGCAGGCGCAGGTTAAATTACAAGAAAGGATAAATATGGGAAATGGAACTTCTAGTACTACAGATGGACCGAAAATAAATAAAGCACAGGTATTAAAAAGATATTAACTTACATTAATTTATAATATTATATTAATTTTGTGTGTGTTTTATCAAGAATATTTTGTTGAAGCCTGAAGTTGCAAAGCAGTTATCAGGGGGCACTAACAATTCAAAAAACTCAAAACAATTAACTGTAAGTTTTTTTTAAAAACACAAATACGTTTTTATTAATTCCCACATAATTTATTAGTCATCATCTGTAATGAATAAAAGATTACTTCCAAACGCCGGTAATTCTGGAGTATCAAATGCATCAACCCCAAAAATAACACCCGTAAATAGTGCGCTGGTGGCAGCAGCATCGAGTGGTCGAACGAGGGACCCGCGATTAGCCCGACTTCAAAGTAGTGGTGGCTCAACAGCGACGTCCGCGCCCATCAATACCACTGTTAGTTCTAATGTGCCGTTAGAGAATAAATCAAATATAAACGCAGAGACATTAGGTTCAAACGCTAACAATAATAAATCATTAAACATTAATAAAGCGAGTGTTCAGGGCAACAGCCGTTCAGACCCCCGTTCACAGGTTTCTAGCAAAGGTAGCGCACCTCCTTCCGCGCAAACCAAATCAAAAACGCCTACAACCCAATCCTTAACGAAAAAATCTGATAAATCGTCCGATTTATTTTCCACAAAGGCGGTTAGAGCTGGCCGTTCAGGGTCTAAACTCTCTAGCCCATCAAAAGGAAGTAGTGGCTCCGCAAGCTCTCTCGATTCGTCTCCCACAAAAAATAAAAGCGGTAAAAGTGAGTCGAAGACCGGCGGTAGCCGCTCCTCTTCCGCTTCGCCCAATAAACACAAAAAGAAAGAGAAAATCCCGAAAATAACCTCGTCCAGCGTACCAACGTCCTCTTCTTCCTCCTCGTCCTCCTTAAACAATTTGGGTAAGGCTGATAAAGAGAGCAGGACCCTCTCGCCGGGTAAATCGCAGAGTGACGCTTTGACCACGACGTTTAAAGAACTAAAACCCAGCTCTAAAAGTCGGAATTACATCCGTCGCAATCGAGATTTATCCGTCAGCCCAGAACCAGTTCGAGACGTCGATCTTCGTTTGAGCGGACCACCAGAGAAACAAGCAAGACTACAATGTGATATCTCCGAGGATAATGGTAAGAAAGATTTTAATTTGTTTGTGTGCTGGAGTATTAAAGTGGAGATAAAATTAAAAAATACTTAATTATAAAAAATAAGATATTCAAGAAAAGATTATTATTACGATTATTTTTTAAAGATTTTGATAAAAGCGTGGTTCATTTATGTGAAAGTATTTATTATTTATATTCTCTTAATGCTAACCACAGGAAATGGTACATTTCCTAAATATTTAATAGGTCAGTATAATAACTAATTTTATTTAACTTTTTTTAATAATGGGTCTCTCCACTGAATTTCGATGATTTTTGCGTCGTTTTTTCTTGAAATACTTGATTCACGATTCAGTTTTAGTGTTAACTGTGTGTGTTTTGTTTATCATTTGGATAGTGTTGAAAATGTTAGTGGCTAAAATGACGTGAAGTGAATCAATTTGTGAGGGACATGCATTACTTTGATTAGAAGACAATAATTATACTAATACAACTTCAAAGAATTTATTGAAACGTAATTAAGTCCAACTTAGTGTATAAGGAATAATGTGGAATTCGAAGTAATACTTTCTGAAAGGTTAAATGTTACCTAATTTGTAGTATACCTGCCGAGTTTCGTTGTTTGGATTTCAAAAACATTCATATTCCTGATACAGACCCAAAGATGGTGTAAAATTTTTGAATATATGAGATGCTGCATACTGTAATGATGTACAAATTTATTACGAGAAGAATGACAGAGTCCTGAAAAGTATTTCATGACATTCTTCGCAATCTACTGATTGTGATTATACATAGAGGGATTTATACCTTGCATGAGAAGCAATGCGGAAGAAAAGAACAGGAACTCTAAAAGAGGTGGTAAACAAATGGTCGTCTAAAATGAAGTTGTTGGTTTACATATTTTTAATTAAATAAAAAGGAATTAGTTGTACAGGTGCGTCCCATGTAAGCGGCAAAGTACATAAAAAAAGTTGTAGAAAATTTACTACACTATAAACGGAAAATATTTTTATACATACAAAGTGTTTTATAACCCATGTTGCTCCATTTGAGGATATCCAAGGAGAAACTCTACCAATTTTTACCTTTCTAACTCAACCACTCGCTGAGCAATTCAGGTTTAGAGGACATAGTGTAGAATTAGAACACGCAATAAAGACTATATCATTCCATTTAAAATAACATAATATGTTTATGTCAATACTTCGTTATGGAACACCCTGTAAGTATAAAAATATTCGCCCTTAATACTGTGATAAATTTCCTACAACTTTTTCTCTAAGAACTGCCAGAAAAACTGAAGAACCTCAGCTCCTTAACGTCATTTATATACTTTGCCGCTTACGTGGGACACCATGTATATACAGGATGGGTTATTATTAGATGTCGATAGCTACTAAATCATTTGAGATAGAAAAAAATGTTTTAAACGAAAATTGTTAAACTCACCACTTTCTATTACGTAAAATTATTTATCTACAACTACTATTGAATTATCTATTCGTTATACATTTGATTTATGACGGGTAATGACACGCATTACTCGTATGACTGACAAGTGTTGAATAATGAAGCCATTATTCCACAGTTCTGACACGACCTACTAATCAAAAAATAAAATAATACAGAAATGACAGCTTTCTTATATTGGGGTTATGTCTGAAATGTCTATCAAGTTTTTTTTTTCCTTTTTTGATTTTTTTTTTCCAAATTAAATAGTTGTAGATAATAGTATATTAAAAAACAAGTTTCGTAAGACACGCTTAAAATGCACGAATTCAAGTTGAAAAACGAGTGCTTTAAGTCTTATGAAACGTGTTTTTATGCTATTTTTTGTAATTCGCGTTTTTATCCTTTTTTTGAACAAAAATAATAGTATATTATTATATGAGCATATAATGAGGGCTATTATTCACGAAGGTTAAGTTTATGTCACGAGCGTAGCGAGTGAATAATTAACCTGAGTGAATAATAGCTCATTATATGCGAGTAGAATACTATACTTTGTCCACGACTATTGAAATTGATTCCATAAAATTATTTTTTAAATAAATTTTTGAATAAAGGTTAAACGTCAATGTGACACAAATTCAATATTACTAACTGTAACCAACTTCACAACAATTTGTCAAAATTAAATGTCAGTTTTCTAAAACGTCGTTTTCTTTAGGAAAATTAATTAATTTATGCTTAAATCATACGAAAAAAGGAATTTGTTCAGGTTTTTTTAATGTCAAACATTTAGAAACTCCTAAAAAATTGAATTAAATTGACGTTTTTTGAACTTTTAACGTTTCAAATTATTATTAGTCTGGTCAAGATGGCTACCCGTGGATAATGATTATTATTCACCGCTATTATTCACTCCATGAAAAATGACTACCATTTTGTTTTAGAATACTCATTATAAGGTAGTCGTGGACAAAATAAATTTTGACAATGTAGGGAAATAGGTATGTAGCAGTTGGTAACATCGTAACACTTGAAAATAGAAATTTGAATTGACAATTAGAAACTGTCAAAACACAAAGTGTATTCACCTAGGACGCCGTGTATATTTTAGCATATTATGAATACAACTAAATTTGTTTATGCAACCGTATATGTTGCAGACTCACAGCGTTAGTAGTTCCTGAGATATTTAATTGTTTTTCCAAAGTATGCCCGTTGCGGGATCTTTTTAAAAACGATGTACAAATGACATTTTTGCTTTTAAACTATGTCAGATAATCGTGAAAGCCAGTAGGTAGATCATAGTATTTAAAGATATTAGATACACTATACAGCGTGTTCATAAAACATTATGTGCTGGTTGAATTGCGCATGAAGTTCCCTTTAATTAATGTTAAGTACGTCATATGTCTAACTTTAGTAGTTTTCCTGATATTTAGAATTTAAAGAAATATGTATAATAAAACATGCCATTATTGTACTTAATATTACATTCTGTTTATTTTTGTCAGTTTTTTTATTATTTCTTTTTTGTTTGTCTCTCATTTCTAAACAGTTCTTTAATTTAACTTCACTTTATGTAATCCTCATCATCCTTATCATTTATTAAACAATAAATCACTTTTCTATCCAGTAAGCTATTTGAAGCAAATGCAGCTATTAATTCAATAGACAACCTAAGCCTTGACGTCACAGAGATGGGTGCAGCTTATACTGACTCCAAACATTTTCCTTGCTAACGGTAAATCACCATATGCAATTTTCCATTAGTGTTAAAATAAACTAAGTGATGACATTTCAAATGACATTTTTTAGCAATTTATCTTAGCACTGTTGCTAAGATGGTTAGCCACTGTTGGTTAGCAACGAAATTGTTTGGAGTCAGTATAAGCTCCGCCCACCTCTGTGACGTCAGACTTAGGCAGTCTATTAATAGGCAAGCCGACTTAAAACATGAACATAATAGTTATTTATATTACAATTGGACTAGAAACATAATTACTGTACGAGTGTGAAATTACAAACTCGGTCTACGACCTCGTCGTGTAATCACACGAGTACTGTAATTATGCTCTAATCCACGTGTGATGTACAACATTTTATCTACGACTGCTAAAAATTACTTAAAAATCATTTTCTTTGAAAAGGTCTATATAGACATTTATAAAAATATTTTGAAATGATTGATGACAATTTTGAATTAATGTCAGTTTCAATAACATGTTTACTCATCTGGAATAAGTGTTTCGAAATGTAAAAACATAAGAATTAATGTTTATAATAAATAGTATTGTTTCTCTTTAAATAGGCAGCACTTTTTCTTTTGTATTATTGCTCGTTTCAATAAAGTAAGTCTGTTCTGATTGGGCTAAAAATGCGTTACGTAATGAAACCAGTGCCGTAATGAACTTCATTACGTAACTCAAATCACCTCAAATGAGTGTGGTAATGATGACTTATCCAAGCAGTCGTAGATAAATAATGTTAAAATATGAATTTTATGCAAAAATGTATGCAAAATATTATTTTTGATAAATAAATAATCAAAAAGCGATAAAAATCCAAAGTAAATTTAATTGGCAGAACAAGTACATATTCCATTAGTTATACTTTTAAAATCTTATAATTTTATATTTATCAAGTAATCGTATTAAAATTAGGTATGTGGCAACAAAATTACTTTACATTATAAAATAGTAATCAAACAAAAAAAAACGGACAAAAATAGACAGAATGTAATATTCAGTACAATAGTGGCACATTTTATTATACCTTTTTCTTCTTAATTGTAAATATCACGAAAACTACTAAAATTGGACATGTGATACTTAACATAAATTAAAGGGAACCTGATGGGCAATTCAACCAGGACTTAATATACAGGACGTTCCTTTGAAAAAAATTTACATGCATGCCATCACGTGTTAATGCAACACCCTGTATGAAGGAAAATAATTTTACATTATAGAAAGTGGTGAATTAAACAATGTTAGCTTAAAACATTTTTTTCTATCAAATGATTTAATAGCTGTCGAAAGCCGGGATTCTAATAACTCACTCTGTATATGGGAAAAACAAACAGAACGAAGAGGCGTTAACTATAAAACATACGATAAGAATAACTTTTTTAGCACTCATAGTAAAAAAATGATTTTTCTTACTTCAACTTTGATTACTACAGAATTTAGAGTATTTCGGGTTCTTCAATATCTTGTTCCAAGTTTTCATTAACATAAGCTTCAAAAATGTCATCATTTTGATCTTCGTAGTTAGTTAGTAAACTTGTTTATATTTATGTGCAGGAAGATAGAAAACTATGATACCTCGAGCGGGCGCGCCGTGATAAAATGTATATATCCTATTAATTTGGAAAGATTCAATGCTAAATTATTCGTGTAACCATGTATTTTGAACACAATAAGAATATTAAAAAAAATATATTGTGTTTATTGCAAAAAAAGTTTTTGGCTCGTTTGCACGTTTTACAGATCCGTAATATCAATTTTGTTGGAATCGAAATTGAAGAAAGTTAATACGAACGATCTGGCAACGTCGCTCGTTTATTTTATTGATTTTATGATTTACCCAATTTTTGTAAACTCTGACGTGTTCATGTTTACGTCCGCGATGTAACCACAATTTAAAATAATAACTTTACGTTTAGTAAATCTATTTATCAATCCATTTTTATTAAAAATATTATAAACATCAAAACGCCGAAACTGTTTACAAACATTCAGTTTATTATTACGCGACAGTTTTTATCGCGTTATGGCTTATCCAGAGAAAAGCAAAGCGAGCGACGTTGCAGAATCGTTGGTTAATACGGATCTGTCTCATAAAATTTATGGAACGCGCCCGCTCCTGATCTAAATAATTATTAATGAAAACAAAAAGTTTCGTTTTTGTTGGCTTATTTTCTTCTCTTATTCGTCCCGCTGTAAGATCTGGTTCTGTTTGTTCTGTCTCATTCCTTCTTGTGATAAAGATGTGCAGAGTTTCTTCCAATTGGACGCTTGGTTCCTGGTTTTTGTGTTTTTGCCCATTCGTGTCTAGCTCATCTTATCAACGTGGTCCCTCCATTACTGACGTCACGTTCTCGTCCATGTCACCACGTCCTGCGCTACCAGATCTCTCATCATGTCCAGTTCCACCTCAGATACTTAAACGTCATTACTTGGTCTATTATACGTCCATTCACAACTAATTTACATCAGATGGGTTTTTTAGCAATTACCATTGCTCTTCATTGGTCTTCTCGCACGCTAATTGCATATTAAATTTTTCTGTTATAATAAATCTGTGCAGTTTGCGCGCTACATGATCCTCGTTTTCCGCTAATATGCAGTATGGCATCGTCTACCTGTTCTTAATAGATCAGATATGTCTCCTATCATGAATCTGTCGAAGAGACTTGCTTCAAGACTACAAAACAGAAGAATATAGGTTTATCGTACTCAATTGGCTTTTTTATCTGTTGTCTTATAATGAAGATAGCATCGACTTAGACACACAGATAGAAAAACACTGATGAACACATTCTAATTTGTTTTTTGACAGTTTTTTATCTATTCAAGTAGTACGGATTGACGAACCTTCCCCTGGAACATCAAGGTTAAGGTTACGTGGTTTTACGACGACGGGGATTGTCAAATAGCGTCAAAAAGCGAAGGTTAAATAGTATATTTTGACCTTGACGTGAGTTTGATCCTAACATGACCTTGAGATTTCTCCGTTGGTGAAGAGATGTTCAACTTGGCCATTTCAGTAGATTGTTTATTGCCCATTTCCTTAATAAGTACACTGTGTTAATTAATTATCGTACCCTACGTCATCATTGCAAGTATGCAACCAATATCACAGTATTGGTATTGCAATACGCAAATCGCGTGTTATATTATGCTGTGATATTGGTTGCATATTTGCAATGATGACGTCGGGTACGATAATATAATTAATTAACACACTGTATACAGTGGAATTTCATTGGAAGTATATAAGTGCAATGTCCTTATAAGATTAAGTTCTATTCTTGTTTAATTCTTGTTTTTTGCTTTATTTATCGGTTTGGTATACATAGGATTTCTTTATATATGAGGTTTCTTTTTTCCATGCAGGTTTTTTTGGTCCGTTAGCTTCTAATTTTTGCCTCTGGTCCTTTGTTGTTCTTGTGTTACCTTTGTTAGTTTTACCTTTTTAGTTTTTTTTGGTTAATCTTAGAATTATTTGTGTTAATAAGCATTATGCATTGCGTTATCTTCTTTGTGGCGTGATAGCTCGGCGGTCTGAGCTTCGTTCTCGCCTTGCGCTAAGCGATCGAGGTTCAAGACTCGGTGGTGACCAAGAAATTTTTCTGTGATCAGAAATTTAGAAGTCACACCACGCACCGTGTCTCGGATGGGCACACTAAGTAGTCGGTCAATTATCTTCAATTTTCTTACTGTGGAGTTGATATACACCAAATAGTCTCCAAATAATAATCGAGTTTATACAAAGATTTTCGTAATAATGTAGTGGAGAAGCCCATTTTGTAAAACCTTTTAAAATGCTTAATTCCCAAAAAGAAAATCAGATAATTATTTAACACCATATTTCGTTCTAACAATTAACTAACAATTCCAAATTAATTACTAACACAAAAAGCTTTCGTAGGTTCTACAGATGATCTCACTGTGACAGGTATGGACGTCGATTTAAGACATTTACCTTCGATGGTCAGCAAGAAACGTTCTTCAACTGACAATCCAGACCCGAGTTTAAACGTTTCTAGCAAAAAATCGAAAACGGAGGTGTTTGATGAGTATGTTTACTTTATTAATAATCGGTGCTAATAATCTCGAAACGATAATTTTAATTTTTAGATTATTTGGTAATGAAGATACAGATTTGCGTCAACTTACATCCGTGGTAAATACACCTTCTCAAGATAGACCCCCAACACCGCCTCCTCCAATTATTTCGTCGAAACCTGAAGAAGAAAAGTCTGAGAAGGTTAAAAAGTTAGATATATTAAGAGCGAAATTAGCTAATGCTACGAATAGGGAAAAATTAAGGACTAAGCAGGAACAGAAACAAAAAGATACTGATTTGCGCGGTGGAACTAATAGTGCAGATGATTCTATGAGTCGAATAATAATATCCTCCGCAGATGAACAATGCATAAAAACCGGAAATATGACTAAAGAACAAGAAAAGGCGTTAATGAACAAGATTTTGGCGCAAATGGAAAATCAAAAATTAAATGAAGCAAAACGAAAGGATAACGAAGAGAATTTGGGAAATATTACGTTACAACCGATTAGTGATGATGAATTAGAAGCTAATTTTAGTTGTAGTTCCGATGAAGATACAGCTACTTTTAGACGAAACATTTATGTTGATAAAGATGATAGAGTACCTCAAGTTAATAATAACGAATTTAACAAATTTCCAAGAGGCCCAGATAGAGGTGATTTAAGACGTGGAATGTGGCGGGGACGTCCTGTGAGAGGACGAGGAATGATCAGAGGAGGAATTCGGCTACCCATGAGACCAGGAGAGAATTGGCCACGACCATTAAATGGGCCATGGAAACCAATGCAATCAAATTTTATAAAACAATCACCAATTTACAACAACGAAGTTATTGATTTGGATAGTTTAGAACAAGAACAAACAACAACTGAAAATAGCCCACAAGAATTAGTCGTCGATTGTGCCAATCAAGATAACACAAAATCAATAAATATCGACGGGTACCCAAGAGATATCCGTTACTACGACGAAACCGCGATTATTTTCATGTCTTGGGATGAGCCCAAAGAGATCTCGTTTCAAAGTGGAGTAAGAAAAGTGATTTTCGGCGATAAAGATATTTATTATTTGTCATTTAACGAACCTTATAAGGAAGTGTTAATTAATGGAAGTCCGCACAATGTGAAATTGGGGGCGCCGACTCGAGAGATTTACGTCGACGGAAAAAATTACGAATGTTTTTTTGGCGGTCCGCAAGTCTTTATCGATCTCGACGGGAAATTGACCTCTTTGAAAATGGAGGGACCCCCGCCTCAAGTTAAAATCGGAACGGAAATACGCAAAGATTTAGTCGCCGGACAAATTAATTTAATAATCGATGCGAAAACGGTCGTTCCCGTTTATTTAGACGGAAAATTACAAAAATTCGAAATCGACGGGAAACCAAATACACTTAAGTTTATTGACGCTTTAAAAACGGTGATGATTAACGATATTCCGTTTACCGTCGAATATGGGGGACTTCCAAAACCGATTATTGTGCAGGAAAAAAAACATTTTATTCGATTTACGCGGTTACCACGCGGGGTGCATCCTGGGGTTGTTAGGATTAAAGATATGGAAGGATTTCGCCCGGATAGTCCTAAAATTGAGAGTGAGAATAGTATGGAAGCTTTCCCGGTTGTTGATGCTAATGAGCCAGCTTTACCTGTGGTTGCTAAAAAGCGGAAACTTATCGGGGTTGAATCACCCGATAGAAATTCAAATTCGCCAGTTCCTAATTTATTCCAACAAACGGGGTTAAGTAAGTTATTGATTTCTTTTTTTATACACTGTTGGAAATAATTCACGAGCACACTCTGTATAATCTGAACGCGTAATAAATTTGGTACACGACGTGGCATGGAGTCGATAAGTCGCTGTATTCTAGCGGGAGATGTGGCCAACCATGCCGCCGTAACTCGTCTCCATAGCTTCTCAACGTTAGCTGGGGAAGCCAGATAACGTTGAAGTTTCTGACCAATTATGTCCCAAACATAATTCGATCGGATTTAAATTTGGCGAATGAGCTGGCCATGGAAGCATTCGTGTACTGTGCTTTTCCACAAAGGTCTGTACAACACAGACCTCGGGAGTTGTGGTATAGCAGATACCATAATGCTTGGTTGGCGGTGGATAGGGTGTTCTTGCACGCACTGCTCGAATAGACGCTCAATTCGAATCTTGATTCGACGGAAAACAAAGTGTCCTTCCATTCGGCAACTTACTAATGTCTAGCGTCGACACGCTCGTGACGTATGCGGCGGTGCTAGGGTTTTAGTAAAGGTGTTTTTCATAGAGGTAAAGAACTTTGAAATGGAATAAAACAAAGATAAATTTTTTAAATTGCCATGAAATGTACTTTATTCGAAAGATAATCTTCTGGCATTATAATTTAAATATGACTTCTGGCATATGACCGCTATGGCTGGCTCGGACGTAGTCTAATCTGGAGGTCCAATTTTCGATGACTTTTTTTCAACATTTGTGGCCGTATATCGGCAATAACGCGGCAACTCTTGTTCTCCAAGTGGTTTCGGGCTTATCGGCGTAGACTAGCGACTTCACATATCCCCACAGAAAATAGTCTAGCGGCGTTAAATCGCACGATCTTGGGTCCAAAACGTGAAACTATGCGGTTACCAAACGTTTCCTTCAATAAATCAATTGTGGCACGAGCTGTGTGACATGTCGCGCCGTCTTGTTGAAATCACGTCCTGCACATCATAGTTGTTCAATCGATGAACGAAAAAGTCAGTAATCATGGCTCTATAGCGGACCAATGATTCCACCAGCCCATAAAGCACACCAAACAGTCAGTTTTTGTGTCTCAACATACACTTGAGGATTACCATCACTCCAAATACGGCAGTTTTGTTTATTGACGTATCCATTCAAACAAGCTTCATCGCTAAACAAAATTCGTTTATGAAAATCGGGATCAACGGCAATCTTGTTTTGGGCCCATTTACCGAATCTACGCCTTGCTGGGTGATCGTGTGGCTTCAATTCTTGCACGAGTTGGATTTTGTAAGCACGCAAACCAAGATCTTTCCGCAAAATCTTCCATAAAGTGGATGGACACATATCCAATTCCTGTGCACGATGGCGGATAGACTGAGATGGCGGTAGAGCGTAGCGTAGAGGAAGACCCGAACTTCCTCTACGCTACGCTCTACAGCAGCAATGACTTCTTCTGTACGCACTGTACGACGTCTCTGTGGATGCGTATTATCATTTAGAGTAAACGTGGTGTGAAAACGTTCCATAGTTAACCGAACTAATTGCTCTGACGGACGATTATGTTGACATGGTTTTGTAATTTCAAAATAAATTTGCACAATTTGGAAGCGTTGTTCATGCGTCAGTATATTCATGTTGAAATGCCAAACCAAACTAAACATAAATCACTTGGCACCTGACAAAATGGCCGCCAGTTAAAAAAGTGTTGCCAACTTAAAGTTCTATACCTCTATAAAAAACACTCTTTAGAATCCGCTGTACAAAACGCAGCCGTACAGTTCGCGTAGTGAGTGCGCCTTCCCTTCCCGCTGGCCAAACAGCTCCAAATTGCTTTGAGTATGTCCCAGCTCAGACCATTTTCGCCATGCTCGTTGCACTGCCGATAATGACCGTTCGAGAGGACGCGTAATTCCACGGAACGATGCACCCTCAATGTGCATACCCACAATCAGTTTTCGCTCAAACTCGTTTAAGTAACGCGATCGCCCTTCCATTGCGCATACAGTACGACAACAAACTTTTCCCTCACACCGATATATACAGCGTGTCCCGTATTTCCCGGATCAGAGCATTATACGGTTGAAGGATACATTACTTTGAAACGATTTTTCTAATAAATATTTTTCGAAATGTTTATGATAATCGCACGAGAATTGTTTAAAATCGACCAATAGCGTAAATCGTAAATCAGACACAGGTAATCGGCCCCACCTCATAACACGTTTCTCACGTGTACTCAGCAATACATTCGACACGGAAAGAAAAATAAACTTTTTCCGTGAATCCGCTATTGGACATCTTTAAACAGTTCTCGTGCGGTCATTATAAACATTTCGGAAAAAATTTATTAGAAAAATCGCTTCAGAATAATTTATCCTTCAACCGTATAATGATCTGATCCTGAAGATGCGGGACACCTGTATACTATCTCCTATATCGCTGACTACGGTAGGCTATAGGCTACCGTAGGCTACTCAACGATATATTTTTTAAATGGCAATCCCCCATTTTTATTGCGGTATATGAAAGAGGATTTTTTTTCTGAATCTAGTACAGTCAATATTAATATTGGTTACATAAGAAAATTGTCGAGAAAAATTACTTTAAAGTTTAATTACTTCAAATTTGTATAATGATAAAAATAGCAGTAGCCAAGACTAACTATGGTAACGAATTATTCTAAACAATTCCCTGAGTGTCAAAAACTGATTTAGTAAAGCTTCTTGAAGCTTACTAAATACTTGTGGCGGGCCATCCTGTTGGAATAACTGCCGTTGGAATTGAGTTGTGTCAACATTATCGCGATGGAAGGGATGACATCACTTTGAAAAAATTTAAACATTTCTTTCCAATTAAGGTTTCCTCAAATCTTTTGCGGATATTGGGTGTGCGACTTTCTTGGCTAATTTGGATTTTGGGTAGCGCAATACCGACAACTTTGTCTATTTACTTGTCCACTCAATGTAAATGTCCCTTCGTCGAAAAAATTATGTTTTTGACAAAGTCTTCGTCATCGTTGCAAAGTTGTTGTTGCAAAAACTACGATTTTGCTCGTGAATCAGGTTTACTTTATGGGAATGATATTTTGCGAGTTTTAACATTTTATGAACCGTTGATTTACTGATGTCGAAATTAGACCCAATACTCCTTACAGTAACATGAGGGTTTTCTTGCCCAGCCAAAACCACGATTTTTTTGAACTTCCCTTGCAACATTTAGTAGGCCAGACTTCGAGAGATGGCCATGCTGTTTAAATTTAGTCACAGCTAGGCTCACCATACTTTGGCTAATGAGTTCGCGGTCAGGATATGTTGTATTAAAGAGGTCAACTACTTACTAAATCATTTTTTGACACTTAGGAAATTGTTTAAAATAATTGGTTACCATAGTTACTCATGGCTACTGCTATTTTCATCATGTCAACAAATCTGAAGTAGTTAAACTTTAAAGTAATTTTTCTCGAAAATTTTCTTATGTAAGCAATACTAATATTGACTGTATTAGATTTAGAAAAAAATCTTCTTTTATATTCCGTAATAAAAATGGGGGATTGCCATTTGAAAAAAATACCGATGATATCATAACTCGCTTAAAAATGGCGGAAGAAATTTAAAATCTACACCAAACAATTGCAAAAAATTTAAATCTTTAGACCCGTTTCAGGGATTTTTCTATAAACCGTTTATAATGATTTTATCGCCTATATCCGTTACTTTACGGACACACTGTATAGCTTTAATTTGACGCATGAAAGTCATTTTTGAGATACTTTTTTAGAGGTTGTTTATACGAATAAATTTATCACTTCTGTTTTATCAGTCTTTAATGTGAAAATTTATGAAAATTTAGGTTTTAATAGACAAACTTGCTTATTGTATTAAAAAAAAAACAAAATTACAAAACTACAAACAAATTACAAATTGCAAAGCAAAGCCTGCTTAGTATAATTCATTAACTTAAGTGGTACTCAAACTTGTGAACCCTTAACTTGATCGTATCATATCTTAAGAAGGACAAAGAAAGGGACTTATAACCCCTCATATTTTTTCTACTCATACCTGATACACCCTGTATATGCACACACCACATTAAAAACGACCACACTTGGAAGGGTGGCTCAGTCAACAATGCCGCGACAGAAAAACTCAAAACTCGCTTAATAAACTCATTTATAGTAAATCTTTATGCTCCGCAAATATTATGAATTTATCTTGACGCGTTCAGATTATACAGGGTGTGCTCGTGAATTATTTCCAACAGTATATTACAAGCTAAATTAAATTATTTTTTTTAGATAACTTAGATAGTGTTTTATCGAGTGTTATGGCATCAAACTTACTTGCAAACCCAACAAACTTAAATATAAGTACAAATGGATATCAAGTTGAAAATCAACCGAAAGAAATTCCGATGCAAGAAGCACCTCAAGAAATTCACGATGTACCTGTTAACCAATCGACAACAACAACACCAAATCCAGCTCCGTTAATTCCCACAACCTTAAATATTAACGATTTGTTCCAAAAATTAGTCGCAACTGGAATAATGACCACATTGCAAGAACAAAAGAATGTGACCCCCGAAGTTACAATACCAGCCCCCCAAATAATTAATAAAAACATTAATCCTCCTCTTGTGAATAGTAATATCGTAAATAAATTACCCCAAATACCTTCACCACCTCACAAAATCACCCCAGTTAGTAGTTTCTTAAGAAAGGAAATGCCACAATTTTACAGAGCGGTTAATTTTGATAAGCCTGAAACTTTAAAAACTCGGCATTCGAGTTTAGTGCATTCCCTTTATTCAGGGATGCCGTGTAGTACGTGCGGAATGCGTTTCCCACCGGAACAAAGCATGCAGTATAGCCAACATCTCGATTGGCACTTCCGGCAAAATCGCAAGGGAAAAAAGAATATTCGAAAAGCAGCCAGTCGCAGGTGGTATTATTCTTTATCCGATTGGAAAAATTACGAAGAAATCGAAGATTTAGAGGAGCGCGAAAAAAGTTACTTTGAAAACCAACAGCAAGCGCAAGCCGAAGGCAATGACGAGATTGAGGAAGAAATTGAAATTCCTAGCGTTCCCGCTGACCCAAACATACAAGATCCCCGATGCGAAGTTTGTCACGATCGTTTCGATCAGTTTTATAATGAAGAAAAGGAAGAGTGGCATTTAAAACTAGCTATTTGTGTTGATGGATTGAATTATCATCCTTTATGTTATGAAGATTACCAAGTAAATAAATAATAATTATTATTATTAAAATTATTATTTGAAACATTTTTTTTTTATTTAGGCCTCTTTAGTTGATACAACATTAGAGGATTCAGCAATAGAAAAAGAAGATGAAACAACCCAAGATAGTACAATACCAGGTTTAGATACTTTACCAGAAGAAAAAATGGAAGAAACCACATCCGAAATTGTAATAGATGACGACGAATCGGAAAAATTAACCGAAATTTCTGAAACTAAAGATAAAGAGGAAATATCGCAAGAAGCGTTTCCGGATGATCCGGAAGAAAATGATGATGATGACGATGATGATGTAATAATAAATGAAATTGTCCCGGAAAAAATCGATTTGGTTGATGATGATCGTTACGATGATCTCCCCGATGAAAAATTAGAACCTAGAGTGATCCAAATTAAAGAGGAACCGATTGATGATGGTTTTGTTGATGTTGATGGCGCTATTTTTAAAATGGATATTGATAGTGTGAAGATAAAAAGCGAGCCAATTGATCCAGGTAAATTTTTTGTACAAAAAGTTAATTTGTTTTAATATTATGTATTTAGATGAATTGGAGGGTGACGATTTATTATTAGTGGATGGTGGGGGAGTTGATGTAGCTGAAAAAATAACTTCAGAACCGGTAACGGACGCCCACCCAACCGACCTTGTGACGCATATGGACGGTAACGTAGAGTTCTTTGACTCGAACGTTCAACCAACAACCGGTATTAGTGGTAAAATAAAAATAAACATAACGAAACCGTTGCCTGTAATTGCGCCTAAAGAGAGTAGTACCAATAAAGAGTTGAGTAGCGAAATTGAGAAAGGTGGTGAATCTATAGACCCGTCCCAACCCTTGCCCCCCGGCGAGGAGCCTGTCCAGCTCAACGTCAAGCCCGCGCTGCGGGGTATCAACCTCAAAAAAATGGCCCCAGTTAAAAAGGGAGCCGAACTCTCTGGACTTTGTTCCATTATGTGATCTAGTTCCCCATCTTGTTCTATAATAATTCAAATAATTAAAGTTAAATTAATCGATTCATTTCTTTTAGAGATGCGAATGGTTATTAGGTTCTCTCATTACATTTTTTTGTACATATTTATTGTAAATAGACTAAAGAGATGCCGATATTTTGTATATACTACATACTTACAGAATTTTTGAAAAAAAAGGTATAAAAAAGATAGTATTTCTTATTTTAACGTTAAAAATTAATTATTTTTTTGTACCGGTATTGTTGAAAAACTCGTTATTGACTATTGGATAATCCACAAGTTTTCTTTATTACACAACATGGGATTTGATTTAAACTAAAAATAATATTTCCTTTCAAATTTCTTGACAATTTTAAAATCGAACTGAACAATTAATTAATTAATTAATTGGTGATTTTGTAAAGTGACGAAATAAAGCCTTATTTGTTTTCAAACTCGTGTGCTTTCCCTTTTTCAATGCTCCTTATAATTTTTTTTCTCTTAGAATCTACTTTCAATATAACTACATACTGTTATAAGTAACTTAAGTAAGTGGTTTTTAGTGTAAATATTTGCGTAAAATTAATAATTAATAATATCAATAAAAAAGAATTAAATAATGTATTTAGTTTTGTTTTATTTTCAACCAAATTTCCAATTATAAATCGTAAAACCTCGATCAAGAACTATCATTCTTGATTATATATCCATCGTATAGACAAATTCGGGGAATACCCCGAGTTGGATTCTATCTAAGCGTTATAATAACCATAACGTTTTTTATTATCAACTAAGAGTTTACAATCATTTCACTACATCCTTTCAACATACAGTATGTCCCAGGATAGGTGTTACAAGAGGTATAATGACAAAAATTTTAGAATTTTATTTTAAGGCTGAGGAAATAACCACTGCTTGGTGTGGAGAGAATTTTAATTTTCATATTTTGAAAATCAACTCGGCCTTGATAGTGAAGCAAAAACTATTTTTTGTTCAGGTGATGAGAGATATTGAGATGATGAGGCAAAATATCATTAAGAAAAGTTGTTCAGAATGAGAAATTATGGCACTATGCAAAATTTCGAAAAGATCTACCTACATTGATTAAACCACCATTGCTTGGCCATCTAGATCCCCCGACCTTAATCCATTGGATTTCTACTTATGGAGTCAAATGAAACAAATTGTGTATCAAGTGGAAATTAACACACAAGAACAGTTATTAAACAGAATACAAATGGCTGCTACCGAAATAAGAAATCAACCAAAGTTTGATGGTGAGCTAATAAATCACCCTGTATATCGTGTGCCCAGTACCTACCCTCTCTCCATGCCATATGTGATCTTGCTTTTGTCTATTTTCTAGTATGCCGTTTGTTCCTCCCTCCTAAAGTTCGTATAATTATTACAATCGTTTGTGTTTCCCTTTTTGTGCAGTAATTTGATATTTTCCTCTCAATCTCTAGGTATGCCTATCTTCCCTAAATCTATACCCCAGATATGTGAATTCTCTCATCTCCTCAATCTCCCTCCCATCACCTTTTTCTCCCCCCCCCTCCCTCCCCCTTGCAGAACTTCATCACCTCCAACCCCTTCGCCCTGAAATACCTGTCCAAGTGTCTCATCATCCCTCTGATGAGTTATAGGTGAGCTATCCTATGTGCGTTATAGATAGACCGTTATATCAAGATTTAACTGTATATAATAAAATTAAAAAAAATATTTGATATTTTTTATTTATACATATCCATCAATACATCTCTTCGAATTTCTAAGCCCATTTTGTGAATTATTTCGCGCATTTTGGTAATTTGTTTAACATGTTCATCAAAATATTTATCGGAATTATAAATGCATCTGTGCTGGCAAACTAATTGCGTATTCCTGTAACGAATATCTCTTTGAGGATAAAAGTATTTCCTTGCGTGGCGCAACAAAGCATCCCCAGGGCCCCAAGAACTACCTGGTTTAGTGACCGTTTTTAAAGTCTAAAACATACCAAGTTTATTAAGAAGGATTATCACAAAAAATCACTCACTCTATATTTAAGATGCTTAAAACATTTTGTTAAAATTTGCACAAAAATCGGTATAAGCATAATCGCAGTGTGGATATAACTCCATAATAAAGTTCCTTGAGTCATATAAACTTGACTTGGTTCTTGTCCATAACTTACCACAAATAAAAACACAAACTAAACAAAAAAAATGAATGAAATTTTAGTTGTATCATACTTACAATTGCCAATAGAGGAAACGTTTGCCAAGAAGTAACATAAAATTTTTTCGGGGGATTCCCGTAAGTAAATGTGTAATCCTCCATGATCCTATTAATCGAATACACAAACATCAAAGCCAAATTGATCACGATCATGAAAGCCGTCGTAAAATAAAGATCCCCGTATGTGCGATAAATGTAAATGGTGTTCATCCCAAGGTTTGTACAAAAATAAATACTCCCTAAAAAGCCCGCTCCACATATTCCACAAAAAACCAGCAATCGGAATCTTCTCAATGTTTTAAATTTTTCTGTTATAGCACTAACCATTCCGATGATTGTCAAAACCAAAACGTTTATATTTGAGACTATAATTCCTAAATACCAAAGGATTGTTAGTACTAAACCAAAACGAACCCTATAAAGCACATCTGGTACAAAAGAAAACATTACGTCATGACCTAAAATGATTTATTTATTAATCTTCATAATCTAATTTATAATCAACATACCAAACGCAATAAGACACCTTGTGTCCAAAAATCGATAATGCCCCAATATCAAATGAGCACATCGATTTGTAAAAAACATGACTACGATAAGAAAGAAACCTTTTCCAAATCCAATTAATATGCCAGCTTGTGAAGATGTTAAACTTTTCGGCTTTAACGTCCCCATATATATCATATCGGTAATAACAATGATATCCGTCGTAACAACAAATATTTCAACCCAAAAATCCATGTTTTTAATTCGATTGTATTCATGAACTTGAGGAATCGGCGTATCACTCCCCAACATCATCCCATAAGACACAGAAAAAACCGCAATCGCGTTCAAAACTAATTGAATACTCATCGTAACTTTAACAACCCGTTTAACCCCAAACATTGAAATTACACAAACAAACGCCCAGATAAAAAAAGATACGAAAACGTGTAACAATTTTATTTGCGGTACTGAATCATGTCGGTGATACCCCAAAATATGAATTCTATAATAATATTGACTCGCCATGTAAATGCTTTCGTTAAAGGAGCGTTCTAAAACAGGGGTGTTGCAAGTTCGATTAATCGGGAATAAAGGATACATTGGGAAACAAACATTGTTTGTATCCCCGGGGCAATTTCTAAAATTATACGAGAAAGTTGGAGATGTCATTAAATCGATTAGAAGTAAACATGGCACGAATGTAAAAAAAACTTGGAATAGCGCGAAAGTCAAACGACATAATAATAAACTGTATCCTAATCCAGAAAACATTGGGACGCATTCCCACATACATAAAAATCCCTTTTTGGAGTAACTACTCATAAATATGAAAAGGACGAGTAAAGGAATCGATAAGAAAATGTGTAAAGGTAAAAATGAGAAGAAAACGTTTACTGAAACAAAAAAAAACATCAAAAAATTTAAAAAAAAAAGATTATTACCTCCACCAGAAGCAAGTAAAATATCTATAAAAATAATTAGATAATAAATGTTGATTTGATACATTGTGGAGGCGGTTATAAATTGGATCGCGGACATTTGAACATCGCTTTCATCTTCCTAAAACATAAAAATAACATAAAATTTATCTATAATGAGAAAAAAATTTAGTTTACCTCTTCAGGATTAACCCCAGCTATTCTTTTAAATAAATCCACTCGATCTCCTCGTATTATCGGTAGTGTATATGAACGAGGAGGAAATAAATACCTTATGTAGCCCCCATACATTTTCTTTTTTTGATTTTAGCTTAAAAAGGCAATTTTCTGAATGACATTAAAATATGTCAAACTGTTTGAAAATTTAACTAACAAATTATCAAAACTTGACAGTTGACAGGTGACAGTTGCGTCTGCAGAAAGAAATTTTTCAATGTTAAAAATTATTAAAATATATTTGAGCAATTCGATGAGACAAAATCGGCTTTCACCCGGTGGTATTCTTTTAATTGGAAATGATTAATTATTCGTTATACTATTTAAATTCAACTATTGTGATAATTTTTTGTAAAGAAACCAATAGATGGCGTTCGAATTCTAAATTACCAACTTAAAGATCAATTTAAATTATTTTATTAATAAATAATTATTGTAATAGGTTATTTTTAATATATATTATCATTTTACATTTAATAGACAACAACATAATAAATAAAAACACAAAAACTTAATCTTATCGTAATAACAATTCTTATCATATTATAACAATTAAAACTTAAATAATCACTTTGTACACAACGAATGTTATCAAATTGAAAATAGTTTAACCGAAAATCCATTCATGACTAATTAGTTGAACTTCGCTTTTTGTCCACACACAACAACGCCAACAACGCTTCCACTTCAATCCAACCAACAAGACCAACAAGTTGTTAAACTGCACTCAATCTGTAAACATCGCTCTACCAGTAACGATTTTAAAACGAATCTTAAAGCAATTTTAACATTTTTATTCGATAAGAAAGAAAAATAGTGGTTTATAAAAGTATACCAAGTGTTGAATAAGATGGAATCCGGAAATTCATTTTACGACCTCTTAAAAGAAGAATTCCGTAGGAAGAAAAGTGCGGACGTGGAAATCTCGCAAAAAGACACGATACTAAAGAACGTTAAAAGTTTTATTAAACATTTAATAAAACTTAACATTTCGAAAGCGATTGAAACAATTACGATAATCAGATACGATTTAGAAAAAGGGGGATGTCCAGAAGAATTCGATATGACCCAAGCAGATTTCGATTTAATCCTGCTTATCAATGCGGTTATTTTATGTTGTGGACGCAAATGGGATGAAGCCGAAGAATTATTTTATGAATTAACCGAAAAATATCAAGAATCTTTGTTTTTTGCTTTGCTTGGAGTTGTCAAAAATAAACGTCACATGTAAGTGTAAACAATAAAGGTTATCATTAAGTTACATTATTAATTGATAGATGGCGCTTATTTGCGGGAAATTTAAAATTTAAATTAAAAATTTTTATTTTAGATTTAGATGTTCGCGTGATGCTTTCTGCCTTGCACAAATAACTTCTCACACACCAAAGGTATTCAAAAATTTAAATTTGAGTATAACAAATTTGACTGAGATTAAATTAAAAGATTCGATTATGAAGTTTTTGGGTTATACTAAAAATATGGAAGAAATTCCTTTAAATAATTATATTAAAACAAACAACATTTTTGGTAATCTTATTGTCTTTGTTTTCATGAAATAATTTTTTTCTTTTAGAAATGAATGATGTTAAAACGATTGGAAGCATTTTTCGGGATGACATCTTCCCCATAATAAGAGATCAAATTGATATCTTTTTGGGGGGAGATCTTCCTAACAGTAACCAGGTTATTAGCAATGATAAGTCAACTCAAACAGTTAATGTTAACACATGCACTAAAGGATTCCAAACTGATTTAGTAAAAACAATTAATAAGTCGGTACAAACTTTAAAATTCAAGGTAAGATTTTTTTTTAGGTTAAATCTTTGTTGTTTTATTGAAATTAAATTTTTAGGATAAAAATGAGCAAAAAAAGGATAAGGAATTATCAGTATTAAAAACGACTGTGGATGAATTACGAAAAAGTAATTCTGATTTAACCAAACGATTAAATGAGTCTCTATCGGTAAAAGAATTTAAACAATTTAAGTACAGTTAGTCACAAAAGTCTATGTACACCAAGTAAATTCACTCCAGTTAAATAATACGTCATATTATTGAACATTTCGTTTTAAAAATATTTATTACTACACATGTAGACAATTTTGAAACAACATAACTATTTTATCATAATACAATCTTAGGAAAAAAATTTAAACTAAAATTAACAGCTCACAAAAGTCTACATACACATATAAAACATATAAAACTTGACATTATTAAGTTAATCATAGTCAAATACAAAAATTTTAATATTCTCTAGGTCCACCTTGCAAATTCAAAACTGCATGGAGTTGTCTTGGCATAGAAAGAACAAGATTCTCTGTTACACTGACTAGCATTTGGGTATAGTGGTGATTTGTCATATTTTTACATTGTCATTTAACCTACTTCACTTTTGTTTATACCACTAAAACTCAAACTTAACACACCCCAGTAAACAAAAACGAAGTTTTACAAAACAATAACTTAAATTCTAACTAGTTTATCTTTAAATCCCTCAAATTTAACCCTTTCTGATGGTTTAGTGAAAAACTCTGCGAAATTATCTACACTATTATAGTGGATCAATTTAATTCGTTTTGATATGACTATATCATGTACATACAGGGTGTCCCATCTAAGTTGCCTCGGTCCATAGCCGAATTATGATTGAAGTTTTTCAAAAAATTTTTCAAATAAGGTCTAACTGGTATCGTTTTTGAATTATATGACGATTTTCGAAAAAAATTACATTTGCAGCGACTGGTAAAATGGAAGGTGGTGGACGCTTTGCAATACTATTAAAGTTGAAGTAGGCTTGGAAAACAAACTAGATAAACTGTCATTAATGTTCCACGCGTTAGAACTGTCATTAGTGTTCCATGCATTAGAACTGGTTTTCAAAGTATTATTTGTTAAGTATTACCAAATTTATAAGACGCTGCAAATTTCATTTTTTTCGAAAATCGTCATATAATTCAAAAACGATACCAGTTAGACCTAAGCTATCCTTAACAAAGTACCATTGAAATTTCACAAAGAATCCAAAAATGCAGTAATATACAGGTGTTCTATTTAAAATAACAATGTTGATATCCATTTCCGGTAGAAGCGGAAGTCCGCCATTACTGAAACTAATTTTAAAATATGTACAATATGATTCGATTCAATTTTTATCTGAAACTTTTCAATCAATCAAACTCAATGAAACTCAATCATAATTCGGCTATAGGCTAAGGCAACTTAGGTGGGACACTTGTATATATAAATATCATATACAGGATGGTTCAGCTTTCTAATCGGGAAACTTTACTAGGACGTAGTACTTGCCAAAATAAAACAAGTTTTTTATATAAACATATGGTCGCAACTCTTTTGTTTTCGAGCTATGAGCTGTCAAAGTTGAGCCAAAAATTTACATTTTATCCTTTATTTCGGGTATAAGTAAACCATAGAATTTAAAATTTTGTATGTATGTACTACTGGTTAACCTTATTTTCAATCACACCTTAAACTTCCCTAGCGCCCTCTAAGGGGATGAAATTCACAACCCCTTTGATTTTTTTATAACAACTTTTTAACGCCATGGAATATTAATATAAAAAGATATGGGTTATAAAGCTTGTTTATTATTGGTACTTTTTTTTGTTTTAGCGTAAAAAAATAAAATATGCTACATTGTACTGTAAAGCAATGCTATTGTTAAAAAAATTGTTTATAGCTGGTTATGGAAGTTGTGCACTTACTAGGATCTAGTACTAACTAAATAACACCAATTGATTGTGATTTTTATAAGAAAAACCATAAATAAGATGAATGTTTGTCTTAACAAATTACGTTGTTTTAAACAATATTTAAAAAAATGATACACTTGCTTAATAATAGTCAAAAATTGTTATGATATCTTAAAAGAATTAAGATATCGGGTTTTGCTATATGGGGTTATGTTTCTTTTTTCATTACCTTTAAAATAAGGTAAAACTCGACAGGGGTTGCTATTTAAAAATGTAGGGGTGGTCATCCCCTAAAAAAACTCTACATTGCATGGAAGTTCTAAACTATCTAAGAATGTAGTATTTATTACTCTTTAGTGATCCCCAAATTAAATCCCCGATTAAAAGCTGAACCACCCTGTATAATGTGTAATACATCATGTATAAAATGAAAACGAACGTCAATATCTTTACTTTGTTTAAAATTCCATTATTGATCAAGTCTATAGCACTTCTATTGTCTATAAGCTTTGTTGTTTGTATTTCTTCACCAATCAACTCTTCCATAAAGCTCTTGATATGTAGAACTCCTTACAGTTCCAAGCGTATATTCGATTCCAAAATCCTTGTTTGTATGTAGATATTTTAAATTCTTTTTACATCAGTTACGTCACATCTTTTTGTATTTTTAACATATCTAGTCTGGTTTTATTAGTTAAGTATAGTAAACTGCTTACTGGTTCTTTATATGCAAAGTCTTTCTTTACCTCTTGATTATCACTTCGTTTTACCTTAATGGTATTTTAGTTTTTTTACTGTCGTCAATTTTTCAAGCACTTGGTTTATATTGTTTAGATTGCTATATCCCTGTGGTATCTTCATGTAGATATCTTCTTTCAGTTCGCCATACAAAAAAAAACGTTTTTATATCTAATTTTGTTATTTTACATGCTTCTGTAGTTGCTGTTACTAATATTGCTCTAATACAGCTCATACTTGCTGTAGAACTGAATAACTCTTCTACGTGTTCTTTTGGTTGTTCAAAATCTCTTACCACTAATCTGGCTTTATAAGTTCCTTATAAAGCTTATTTATTACTCAATACCTTTTGTCCCTTAATTTCTTCGCGTTTTACTAATTCCTATACTTGATTCCACTTCAATCTTCTTCTATTGCATATAACCATTTTTTCTTGTCTTCATCATTTATTACTTCATCAAATGTCAAATACACTTAGTTCTTGAACTTTACAGGTGGTTTTCTTGTTCTTTGTCCCCTTCTATCATGATCTTCTTCCTTTTGGACTTCCTGAGTTGTTTCGTTTTTTTCTTTAATTTGTTCATCATTTTCGTTCCTCATTTGTAAAATAATGATTTTACAAATAATACTATAATAATTTTTTGTTTTTCATTATCCCACAATCTATAACCATTTAACGCAGCCTACAACGTTATATTTTCTGCTTCTTTCTTTCTAAAATAACTTTCTAAGATTGGGAGCAAATTTTTTGCTTCCATTTCTTTTAGGTTGTGAATGTAGTCTTTTGTGACTAACTGTATGCAGTACTGATTTAATAACATGATAATTTTTTTGTTAATTAGAATCTTAAAGCTGCTCAAAATAAAATTAATCATCTTGAAGATGAAATACAAGAATCAAGGTATCTTCTCGTCTTCTTTTAATTATTATTATTTATTTTATTTTAATCGTTTTAATTTTATCTTTATTTATTTATTTTTTAAGAGAAAATTATATCGATCATGAAACTACTATGTTGGAGATCATACAATCTGCTTTTACTTCTCTCCATCATCTTCAAAAAACCACAGGAGAACAAGCCAAACAAAAATTACAAAGTATTGATGCAATGTTAACAGCGTTACGTTCCGATTTTATAAAGTTAGATTTAAAAGAGGATGTGGATCATCTTTCTTGGACTATATCACACTATCAAAACGAAGCTGAACATTACAACAAATCAATTGATAAAAGACACAAACAAATTCTACGACTTTTACACTCCAATCAGTTTGTTGAAATATTAAGTACAGATTATGTATTGGAACCAAACCTAACTGAACAACCAAATTTAATGCTTGATTTGATTGCGAAATTAATAACTATATGTAGAAACAATAAACGAAGGAATCAAAATAATCCAGATTTCAATTTTTTTCAAGGATGGGGTCTTCAAGATGAAGCATGTGGTGGTGGTTATTACTCAAATGATTTACCTCAACCACATAGAGAATTCAATTATTTAAATGATAGTTTTAATGAGGATCTTAATGAAAATTCAGATGAAACTCTAAACGAAGAATGTGAAAGTTTTGAACCATATATAGAGCCATCAGATGAAGATTTTCCCCCGTTATGTGGATTAAGCCGACGAAAATTAAAAAAGATAAAAGCTCGTGATGAATTTGATACTTTTGTTACAAAAATTCAAAGTTTATTGCCGCTTTGTACGACTACGCAAATAAATGGAGCGATTAAAGTTGTACAATCCCAAAAAAACGTTAATTTTAAAGAGATAAAGCTTGAAGATGTCGTTGAGTATTTAAAATTAACATTTAAAAGTAGCATAATTGATGATGCCACCAATAATATTTTACGTTTTTGGGAAAATGATTCGCAATCAGACAAGAATACACAATCTGAGATTAATGCATGCCCAATTTGTTTAGATCAAATCGAACAAAATGAGATGCCGTTATCGTGTGGGCATTTATTTCACAATAACGTAATTATGTTTTTTGTTAATTTTGATTGTTTAACTTATTTATTTATATTTTAGTGCATTATGGAGTGGTTAAGAAACAATGGTAGTTGCCCGATATGTAGAGTTACCATTAATTATAATTATTTGCCATTTTAAAAGAAAGAATAGTTTTAAGGATTATTTTTGAAAATTTTATCTACTTTAAGCTGAGTTGAATAAAATAAAAATCTATTTTTCTATTTATCTTAAATCTCAATTTATTTAAGTGAAATCCATTCGTTTTAGAACTAAACTTGGATAGCTCATAAGTTTAGCCTTTGAAAAAATTTATGATCTTGGATTTAGGACACTTACAATTGGGCCACATTATGCATCACTTGACTAAGCGACAAATGAATAATGTAGAGAAAAACGGAAAAAACTCAAACTATTGAAAATTGTTTGGTGCCTATCAATTTTTATCACAGAATGAACATCATGTGGCTTACAAATCGACGATTTTTTAAATCAATGTGAAATGACCCAAAAAACACGTTAAAAATAAAAAGAAAGTGCGGAAAAGTGGCTAACAGTAAATTAACTTCAGTTATAAAACTTCTATTATATGATAACTAACATCAGGTTTAAAATGTCAACCTTAATTTTGACATATTTGTATTTTTCATTAAAAATCCTTTAAAATGAGTACAAACACGACATATTTATCATCAATATTAATGAAGTTATGGTCAACTTCCGCTTAAAAATGTCAACGTCAATTTTGACATATTTGTAATCTCCGGGAAAAATCCTTTAAAATAAGCCCAAACAAGATACGTTTAATTCCAATATTACTCGATATATAAGAACTTCCGGTTTAAAATGTCAATGCCATTTTGACAAATTCTTAATTTTTATAAAATGTCTTAAAATTTATCACAAAAACAATCAAAAAAAATTAAAAATTAAGGTTGGTATTAACATTTAAAAATTAAATTGCTATCTTCATTGTTGCTAACTTAGGGTTTAACGTTTTTTATTCTAACTTTTTTGTTATTTGAGATAAGTGCGTCATCTTTGGACTCATTTTAAAGGTTTTTTAATGAATATGACAAATATGTCTAAATTGGCGTTGACGTTTCAAACCGGAAGTGATTGTATTTCCATTAATATTAAAGTTAAATAAGTAGAGTTTGGACTCATTTTAAAGGATTTCCATGAAGTTGACAAATATGTCGAAATTAAAAGTTGAAAGTTCGAACTTTTTGGTTTTCGGTTCGAATGTTTCTTTCACTAGTGTTAGTTCTAGTTTTAGTGCAATAAAAATACGCAACATAGTGATATCTTATGCTAACTAGCGCTACCTACCGCTGTCGTTTATAAAATGGATAAGATGAGAAATGTTAATCTATTTGTAGAGTCGCTGAAGATAGCCAAGGGCCGAAATTAGTTAAACTTAAATTCTATATAGAAATATTATAAATACTATTATAGAAATAAATCTAGAGTAACTTGGTCGGTTATAAATTTTAATAGACCAAATGCAAACAAACAAAATACAGTGGATATAAACCATAAATGCTATAGTTTTTATTACACCGTTTAATTGTACGTAAAAAAATAGGTTGACTTTGATAAAAGTTATTGGTACCTAGCGTTTTTCGTTTTCGAGTTATTTTGGTTTTAAGCTTTTTTTGGTAAATTTCAACATGCTCTTTAAAACTCCATATCTCAGCCAACGCTCATTCAAAAAAGATCTACGTTGGCACGATTACCCTTCAGATGTTGTCAAATAGATTGCCATTTGTTGTATCGGAGTATCTTATACAGACTGGTCAAAAATTTAATTACTGTTTCTCATATATACTGCTCAGGTCTTATTGGCATAATAAAGTTTATTCTATTCTATATAAAATAAAAGACATAAACTTTTAATTTTATACTAACATGTAGAAAACGACACTGGCCCGAAATTGTAAATTCATCTATTTTTTTCCATTGTAGAATTTCTTGGTGTATCTAAATCGGTTCTTAGACGTATGATGCAAAACGGATTTGAAATCGTATAACGCGATTTTCGCTTAGCTTTATCCTTTAAAACAAATAGTATTTTAGGTCTTTCGGTATTCTGCATTTTTTCTAAGATAAGTTACACCTTTACATACCAGATAACATGAAAATCTCTAAAAACGATAAAATATCGCTTAGTCAAGTGATGTATAATGCGGCCCAATTACTTGTTTCTTTAATGTTGTGAAGTTATGTTTCAAAATAAATACGTGTATATGCAACCCAATTAACATTTTATTTCCAAATACTTAATTAAACTATTGGTTAATAGATGTCACCATGATCCAATTCAACATATTGTTTTAGTTAGAACTACAACATTTCAACGTCGTCCGCGGTGGTAACTCGAGAATAAGAATACGTGTGCGCGGTTAACATAAATTTAACACTCTCTCCACGTCTTAAATACCATCCGAACGAAAAGTATTAAAACGGAGAAGTATTTAAGAATAATCGTATTAGCTCCGCACATAGTTCATGTACGATACGGATACAAACGTATAGATAGAGGAGTATGTAAGTAAAGAAGCAAAGTAAAGCAAGCAAAAGCAGGGGGGAATGTGGGTTGCGGGCCGAGGGGCCGACGAGTCCCTGCCACATTCCGTTCGCATGCCAATAGGATCGCCGATCTCGACGACGGACGAGACACAGTTTGAGTTTAAGCGCAATTGCCGCCGACACGATCGAGTTTATTCCTTCTTCATTCAGTTTCAGCTTCAGTACGAGCGCGATAGTGCCGTGGCGAAATTGCGCGATTACGAAAAGTGTTTGGTACACATTTTGAGGTTAGGCCACGGGACACGATAAGGTGCGATGTGATTAAATACGAACGAAGATTTGAAAAAAAAAGAAAGCGATAAGAAACAAGCTGGATACGATACATTAAGATTCTTTATTTATTAGAAAATTAAAAACCAGTATTCAAAATGAATTAGAAAAGAAATCATGTATGACACATAGTGAAGAAGATTGAAATTGAAGAGATTCAAAATAAAGGAGAGAGAAAAAGGATTTTTTTGAAAAATCTATTTATATATATAATATATAGAAGTAATATTATTATTATTTTAAATTTTCGAAATACTAATTAAAATAGAGAGAGATATTATTATGTGCTTTTGGCTTTGCCTTCTGTAGTCGCATTCCATTCGCAAGGAAGGTATCGCGCGATTGGTGGACGACGTAGTGACGTCACCCGTCGCCTGCTCATGATAATGTGGTATTCAACATGGCCGTGTAGTTGAGTGTGTGTGTGCCAGTTTGCCGTACGTTCGTTTTGAGCGCGGGGAAACCGTGAGAGAGAGAGGAGTTTTCGGCGGGGCGGTCGTTTAAATGTTGCGATAATAATAATGCCAAAAGCGAGGAATGGCCTGTTGCCACTGCCGGACGGTTGGGACGTGGCTAGGGACTACGATGGAAAGGTTTACTTCATCGACCACAACTCGAAGAAGACCACTTGGATCGACCCGAGGGACAGGTATGCGACGACAACGACGTGATGCGCCTTATGCGCTTTTCTCTATCCACCTTCTTCGTCTTTTTCTTCTTCATCTTCATCTTCTTTTTCTTCATCATCTTATTCCTTTTCTTTTCTTTCTTTTTTCTTTTTCATCCTCGGTGTGTTTATATGTCCTTCCTCTCGCTCTCTCTCTTTTCGCTGAATGCCCGTTTTCGTTCTCTCTTTTTTCCCTGATGCGGATTCCATTTTTAAAGGTCTTTAAACCCTGCGCGATTTTCGCGATTTAAAAAACGCCGCAACGCGCGCGCTCCTCGCGCCATCTCGCGGAAAACGCGTGCATTCGTGACCGCTGGTGCGTGTTGCTAAAAATAATGCCCATCGTCGTCGTTACATATTTTATTTTTTTTTGTTACTCTTCTTCGCTTTACTCCTTTAGTTAAGAAAAAAATGATCCCAATTTCAATCTTTTCGCGTAAACTATAAACAAGTACCTACGTAAAAGAGTTGCGATATTCACATTTTAGGTATTTTGTTATCACCTTGTTATCGCTTGATAAATTACTCAATTAAATTCTAGAATAATCTGTTATAAACAACAATAAAACGTTTAATTTTAGGTTTGTGTTGGTTTTTAACGTGATTGACTTGTAAATTTATGGAAAATGTAAAAATTGAAATCGGAAAAACCTATTTTGTCAATGAAATATTCATATGATGCGTTCATTCATTTTAATTCATACTTCTAGTAATGCTGAATTAATACAAATTTTATGAAAATTATTCTATTTTTGACAAATACTACTTAAGAAATAAACAGAAAAACTATCAAAATTCCATGGCCTTCTAATAAAAAAAAAACATGTTTCTCCGGATTTCCTGCACATTTTGTGAAATATTTAAAATGGATATGGAAGAGGGGGGGAGATATAGAGGACTACTTATTGCTAATAGAACACAAGATAACTTGTAGAAAATTAAATACTGTTTACAGAACACTAAATAGTTCTACTAGAAACTTATATACTGTTATTAGAACTCTAGATACTGCTGACAAAAGACTTGACAATGCTTGTAGATCACTAGAAACTACTTACAATACACTATGTACTTTAATGGATGGTTGTATACTATTATTAGAGCACCAAATACTTTAATACTTCACTATATTTGTTAGAACACCAGATAATGCTGGTAGAAGTGCATTATCTGCTGACAGAGGCCTAAACAACTTGTTGAAAACTAGATACTGTTTACAGAACACAAAATAGTTCTATAAGTAAGGCTTTCACGGCCGATGCTAATTGAAAAGTTTACACTTCGAACCAGTTTCTGAAGAAGGTTGCAACATGGCATCCGAAACGTCAAACCTTTTCTTAAAAAACACACGGCAAAACCCGAAAGTTTCTAGTGTTAGTTCTAGTTTTAGTTCAACAAAATAATTCTATTGAAAACTTATGTACTATTATTAGAACACTAGATACTGCTGACAGAAGACTAGAAATTGTTGGTGGAGAATTAGCTACTGCTGGCAGAAGACTTGATATTACCTGTGAAAGACTAGAAACTACTTACAGAACATTATGTACTTTAATGAATGGCTATATACTATTATTAGCTATTATAATGCTGGTAGAAGTATGGATATTCCTTGTAAAAGATTAGATATTGCTAGGAGGGGACTAGATATTGCTGAGAGAGGAGTAGACATCTCGTTGAAAACTAGATACTTATTATTAGAACACTAGATACTGGTAACAGAAGACCAGAAATTGTTGGTAAAGTACTATCTATTGCTAACAGAAAACTTGACAATGCTTGTGGAAGGCTAGAAACTACTTACAGAACAACGACTAAATACTATTGTTAGAACACCAAATACTTTAATGGTTAACTATATACAGTTGGTAGAACATTTGATAATGCTGATAGAAGCTTGGATACTGCTTGTAGAAGATCAGATACTTGTAATGAAGGATTATGTCAGATACTGCTGGAAAAAGATTAGATATTCTTAGGAGGGGACTAGTTATTGCTGACAGAAGACTAGACAACTGGTAAAAAACTAGATACTATTCACTAAACACTAAAGGGTTTTAGTGGAAACCTATATACCGTTATTAGAACACTATATACTGCTGACAAAAGACTAGACTATGTTTGTGAAAGACTAGAAACTACTTACAGAACACTATGTACTTTAACGAATTTATATATACTATTATTAGAACAAATACTTTAATGATTAACTAGATTATACGCGTAAAACCATCCACTTGCTGATCGTCAAATTAGAATCATACGATCTGTTATTAAATGGTGCAAACCACAATAACAAAGTTACTGCAAATCTGTGAGAGAAAAAACGGGAAACGAAAAAAGTGAGGTTCGCCATTTTGTTTGGTGTTAATTTCCTGTCAAATATTTTAGTTCTGACTGAAGAGCAGGTAATGATCTGCTGTGATATTTTGATCTCATAATTCTTTCTACTATTTGATCCTTAATTAAAAATGATATTAATCTATATGTGTTATTACTCAACTTCTTTTCTGTTGAGGATGTATTAGCGGGCAAAATAAAAGCTAGTTTGAAGTTCGTCGTACAATTCTTGAAGCTCAAGTTAAAAAAATAAAAAAAGGAGAGCTTAACCGCAAAGAATCATCGAAGAAAAAATGGATCGCCACACACCAACATTCTCTCCAGAACAAGAAGAAGAGCTAGGCGATATATTTCTTTATGGAGGCACGATTGTTTAGTTACATGACTTTAGAACTTTGGCGTTTGAATTTCCAGAGCGAAATCACATAGACCTATCATTCGGTAATGATAGCCCTGTTTTAATTCAAGAGTTCCGAACAGATCTAAACCCTTCCGCTAATCCAACGAATTTACTAAACGTGGAAAAACGCAAGATTCGCGGCAATTAACTAAATTTGGACTGGACCACCAATATAAATAATTTTGAGAGTAAGTGGACTAATATTTCAAAATATCTAATCAATTCACCAATTTAAAATGAATACAATTGATACTGTAGCCATATGGGGTGGCTCACGCAAACAAAAATGCTATCGAAAGAAAGAACGAGATAATACAAGATCAGCTATATCTTGTAAAGCATATGGGCAATGCTTTCTTTGTTAGTTACTCGATGCTACAAGAGGCCAAAAACAATAAGACGTTTCATTTAATAGTCAGGATGTATTTATGTATTTGAGGATATGCAGGAAACAAATTGTAATGAAGAAAAATTTTTGTGATTATTTGATGCGTCGTGAAGATGTTGGCTTGCAGTTTACAACAAACTACTTTGGCATTAGGTAAATCCATGCTCACACGGAAGATGTACTTGCTTCATGTTATACCCTTGCCCTAAATCATTTTAGCAGATATAGCAACAGTCTTGTTAGCTGACCTCCTAGGATAATTGGATCGTTGGTAATACTTTGACTTTAACAGTGTAGATTAGAAAGCATAAAAGAAATCCATACCTATCTTGGTGAATAGATGCTACTAATAGTAGTTTTACTGATTTCGAGAAACACACCTCATCTTCAGGAACTTATCAAGTTCTAAGGATAACTTATTACCCATACTCTATTATGTTATATTTTATTTAAATCTCTTTAAATATAAAATAATTAGTACAAAATAAAAGTTTATAGGGACGTCTGTCGTCGTTTGTCGCCCACAAAGGCGTCTCTATAGACGGCTTGGCGTCGGTTTTATATTTGCGTCGTCGAGCACTGTGGGCGATTCGAATTCCGACATCCCCATTTTATTCCTTTTTTTTTGGTACGTTCGTCGTCCGCGCTCGTTTTGGACCTTCGCCAAGATTCCAATATATACCGTAAAGATTCCGCGGATCGTTAGAAATTCCTCAATTCGGGGGCGTTTTTTCCATTCTTTTAAATCTGCTACTAAAAACGTAATAACATTAAATTTCCGCCGCGTCGCGCGTTCCGATGTCAAAATAACGGAGGGAAAACTGCTTTAACGGAGGAATGCAGCAGCACTGACTTTCTCTGTATATGCGAGAACTCAAACGATTCGCGTTCAATTCAACTCGAATTCCATTTGGTGTACAAAATGAGAGTTTTGTTTGTCTTTTAAAAAAATATTTTTTTTATTCATTTCGTGTGACTCAAACGTTTACATTCCAAATTGAATTGTCACTGATTATTTTCTTTATTCTTGGAAGGGTGTCTTCAATTTTTTTTCCTTTCATTTTCTTTTGCAAAACAATGAATAATAAACTAACTGATATTATTTCAAGGTTATAAAACTTTAAAAATAGAATATGAAATCAATCATTGTAATATTAATTAAATATTAACTAAAAACCGATTGATTTCATTTATTTTTAATTGATTAGTAGTATCACAACATCCCGAAAATAAACGTTCATAAAATATACGTTTTATGTTTTTCATTTTTGGGTTTTAATACGTAAATGACCTTTTGCTTAGATATCTCCATATCTCGTCGAAGAATCGACGTCGTTGACGTCGAGTTTTGCTATTGGATGAAAAGTTTTGGTCGCGCGATGCTATCTGTTCAGGAAAGACTTGCAAAGACGTAAACAATAACCGAATTGGAGGTCAAGAATTCGGCCCCGATGACCTCTCATAACGAAAATGCCTTATATTTTACGTCAGACAAATTCATATTAGTAAATATCTTCTTTTTTATCGTTTTTTTATATTACTTTGTTTTAAGTGTAAAAGAAAATCTTTAAATGTATTTAATGATTGAATTTTAAATTTTTGTGATAATCAAAGTACTTTGTACTTTCACTGTAATTGTCGTTTGTAGAGTAAAAAATAATCTATGTTATTCAACGTCCTGCGTAGCCTTTGGCTTTATCGCAAAGGAAATACCACAACTGTGAGTGTAACCGAGTTTATCGGAATTCGCTCGGACGCATTTTAATTGCAAATACTGGAAATACTTGAACAGTTTAGATTATGTTCCAAAGCGAAGGGGAAAAATACCCGGATTTCAACAGATATTGATGAGAT